AATAGGTATAGCAATTCTTAAGGCGGTTGATATACTTTGCAGAACAGAATAGGTATTATAACTGGCATGTATCGGCGATTGAGGTCCATTTGAACAAGCAGCTCCACTTGCCCAAAGGACCCCTGGGACAGTGCAAAACCGGTTATTGCACGAGCGCAGGTACACGAAGCCTTCACGAAAACATGCTAGATTGGTTGGTCTTTCTCACGGACGGCTCAAGTCAGCCGGACCTACTTATGCTAACAACAGCTTCGAAGCAGAGTCAACATATCGGCCGAGGCTGTCATGTTGACTCTGTTACGGAGTTGTTGTTGAGATACCCCGGGGCGTCGGCTTGGACGCTTAACACATGCACGCTGATTGAGTAGGCCACTCACAGACATTAAATAGAACCCGGACCTCACTATCAAATTTGTGGACGTCACCACCTATAACACATATGCTCACTACGCAAACAAAAAAAAAACGTTCAAAGCGTGCTAACATGTACGCAACAGTACAAGTAATACAGGCGGTATCTCATACGAATAAAGACATCGCAGAAACGAGCAGAGCAAGATATTCAAGTCTGCCGATAGCACGCGACTATCGCCCACAAATAGCGGCAAATAGGTAAAAGTGTAGTGATTAGACTATCCCTTAATAGAACTTGTTCAGACACGAAGTTCATATAGTACGCTTGTATTAAACGAACAAAAATTCATTCTGCCAGTTTCATATCTGACCCATACGGTAAGTAGAGCCTATGAACTGTAACAGCAAAATACGTGTTTTTCCATATAAAATAAAACCTAATCGGAGGTGAAACGTTCTAGTTTAGCTTGCCCTAGTATTGTTGCCTTGACCAACAAACATCACAATAATAACTTGAATGTATTGATAATATGTGTAGAATGCTGCCGCCTCAATTAGAAAGCTATTCTAGAAGAATAAACAGCCACTTGATACAATATATAAATAAATGTGGACCGTGCTAGTTGATGAAACCTAGATATGCTCTGTAGAGCTTCAGAGATAGCTGAAAAACGTGATCGTTGAACTTCTGCTCCATAGATATAAAGCTGCTGGGGTTATGTCTACAAACAGCATAAAAAGAGAAAGAGGCAATTTTCAAAGCTAGGACAAAACTATACAAACATTTCTGTGAGCACTTTTCCGCTTTGTCACCATTCAAATATGCTAAAATTTAGGCGCGTCTAGTACTTTTTAATTTTCTGTTCCCGGAGCATGCATGCATGCATGCAACTATAAAAATATTGAAAAATCGCGCATCAGATTTAAAAAACGTACGACCGGGCTTTCCTTTGAAATTACAAAACAAAAATTGTAAGGAGTGACTTTAGACAGTTTGTTGGTGTGGTAAATGGCGAAATAAGAATTACTTTCTAATTTATTATTATGAGCCACTTAATCAGCTAGCATACTCGCCTTATGAGAGTTGAACCCTATGGAGCTTTTATCAACGATCCCATCAGTTTAAGTTAAGATATCAGGTACAAGAAATGATTTTTACAATTGGCTTTTTAAACCTTACAAAGTCGAAATACGACTGATACCAACTATAACTACTATATAGACTTTGATTGGGCCTTCCTGGCTGCCAGTACGACCGCCATGTTTATTATGCGATGAGGGCAAAGGCAACGCTGCTACGACCTGGTCAGAGAGAACATCAAGGGAACATAAGCCGATAGTGGCGATAGCAGGGTCGTCAGCAGTTGCATTAGCAATCTTTCAAATAACAAAGAAGGTAACCAACTAACAAGCTAGGCTCTACTTGCGCTGTTGCGTACTCCACTCCATTCCTGTGCAATGTTATGCTTTGTTGCGACCAGAACTACAATGTACCTAACGGTACTAGAACTAAAAAAAAACCCTATCCAACTAAGCGGCGCAAGCCAAATCCGTCGCGTTTCTGAAGTCACTATCTAAATGCATATAATTTTTCCTGTTAACTAGCCTCGCAAAAATAGCCGCCTTAACAACATGGAGCCTGATATTATTTAACATTGGCGTCGAACCAAACTACGCGTCTATTCGATGAATTAAAAGCCAATAAATAGTAGCTTTTGTTGAAAAGACACGTAAGAGACAGTTAACTTCAAAGTGCTCTATTAAGTTCAGAGAACTGCTGAATTTGATTTTATAAAAGGCTGTATTATGGATGATCCCAACCACAACTGTTAATTACAATTTCCGTTTATCAAGCTGATATCATTATTATTAACTTAAATTTCTAGCAACTCATTTGTGTAGATCACATATGATTTACCGTAAGACTAAAAAAAAAAGAGAGAAAAAAACACTATAAAATTTAAAGAAAGAAAAAAGAATCTATTAAGTAATAATAGAGTTACTTACGAAATAAATAGTTGCGCTACCCAGCATTTTTTCCCATTGCAACCACTGTGCCGTTTACCGTATACAAAGAAAACCTTCATACTTCTCACAACGTTAACTTACGTCTTGATCAAAGATGAGCCGAAACAACAGGCGATAAGGGACAGTCACGTAGAAATAGATCAACTCTTAATCAGTTCGCTCGTAGAACTTTCGTGGAAGCAGGGTAATTCAACTGCGAGCAAATGCTACTGATTATGGGTAGCATACGTAGCATAAGGTCCGTCATACGTCAAAGAGAAACAGTAGTTTGATTTTGCTAGAAGTTTTAAATAAAACAGCACCACAAAGTTAGGTGCACGGTTTCGCGACAAACTAGCTACGAACTGCAGGACATCTGAGGGTGTCCTTAAAATCACACGATTGCGACTTCAGAAAATCTGTGCTTCTGCTATGTTAAGAGTTGGACTGAAGATACCTAATGCAACCAGGACTGAAGCATTATTAAGCGCAGATTAAATCGTTTATTGTTTGTAATACAGCTTATTTGAATGCTAAGCAAATGGCCTTAAGCCTAGTTGTATAAGAAGTCCTTTTAAAACGAACGACCCGCCCATCATTCAGGGAGTGGCGAGGCTGCCAGGATAAAGACTGCTAGGTAAAGCAATTTTGCAGCATGATGTACCGTAACGCAAAACAGGTCAAAATGATTACCTGTGCGACGGGCTTACAGGTCACAGATATTAATCAATGGTTTCCCAGCTCTACATACGGTAAAACAAATAATTTGACCTTAATTGAGAGTCGCAACTTTTACAGTAACGGAGATGATAATCTAAAACACGTGGCCATTGTTTGTTTTGCCACGAACTTCGTATATCTTCTACAGACGTTCAGTTATTGGCTCACATCGATCGCCAATCCACATGCTCATTATTATACAAGGTTAATGATTATTATTATGATAGTTTCGACTTTTATCACGGCCCACATCAACTCGTTTGCAGCTATAAAAAGCCGCGAAATCTCTTAAAGCTGGTCCTGCAGATGTCTAACGTTCAGAGAGACGCCTAATTTGATTTGATAATCGAAAGCAAGGGTTCTTCCATAGGAGTCAGATTGTTTTCGATATTCTTCGCAACCACATTAACTGGCTAACAATAATATTATAATAACGGAGCTGGTGACTACGCGTAGCCAAAACGCTTCTGCGTGAAGGAAGGTGTATTACATTGCACTGCAAATGTGGTGGATAATGGATTTGTATTGACGCCCACGAGTAAATTCAGCCCATACGAAAAAATGCTGGACAAGGCTGTACATAAATTTCATGTAGAATTTGAGTTGACAGCTCTTATCGAAGGAGTAGTCAGCTATAGCTTCAAATACCTTTAACGGCTCTCTACCGTACTATAAAATTATGATCGTGATTTCCACTAAACGTACGATTCAAACCGTAAAATGTAAAAAATTGCCAAAACTGTGTTCAGTCACCAATTGGTATAAAAGGGACAGGAAACTATTCCTCAAGCGAAATTTTTGATGAACATTCAAGCAAAACAACGTGTTAGCGCCTCGAAGACCGGGAACAAACAAAGAAACAATTTATGGCAACACTTTGTCTACGAAACGCAGGTATTTCGTTTCCGTCAAATTCTTTCAATTTCTGATGATTGAAAATTTTATTTAATTATCAGAACAAAAGCTCACTGCATAAAAGTATTCTGTTGTTGTAAGAAATATAAAACTGTCATTATTTGGATGGTATTGAAATCTCGAAGAGTGGCTTCTGCAACGCAGACGAATTAAGTCTGCTTTTAACGCTGGGCTAATGCAAACAGCTGTTGCTAACCGCAATGTTTCGATGCCGTTACATCGAAATATTAGATTTAATATTTTGGCACACTTGAGGTAGAATCTTTATTGTAGATTTAAACAAATCTAATAATAGACCAAATTAGGATTAGATGCATAGCTATGACAAATTGAAGCTTTTCATTATTGGTTTGACGATGAACGATAACATGCAAGAATGCAAACGATTTCGTACTAAGTGGTTGTACGTGTCAGATCTACAAAAGAGATTAGTGTCTGCGATCATTGTTCGACACATAATATATTAATCAATCAACTGCACTGCAAGCATCATCGCCTAGAATAGAGGACGCAACGTTTACTTTTTTAATCAATGTTGTAGAAAGCGGCGGTTGACAACATAACAATGTAATCGACAGATGAGTAAGCCTTAATGAATAGCCTTATCTTGTTTCTGGGCAGCGTGCACCTGTTAGCACAATAAAGCCCACGCCGCAGCGGTAAAATTAAAACGAATTTTTTTATGCCCTACTTGGTCAGAGCCTAATATAGTTCTAACAGAATCCTGTCGCCCCTTCGTTAGCTCAATTTACGCAGTTCTGCATATGCTCAAGTGGGCTGCTAGGGCTACGAGTCACATTGGCGGGTAACCACATGGCGATCATCAGCACCCCAACCACTCCCGCCTTTTTAGGCGGCCGCTTTTGAGGTATATTATCATTGCCCATTGATACGGATCCCTCACTGTGACACCCCTCTGTTTCTGTTTTGGCTTTGGCTAGTCCGCCAAATCGTGAAATTACTATTGATTCACTGCTAAGATAATTGATTAACTTTATACTTACACTTCACCTGTCTTTCCGCGGTTGATAGCATCGCCCACTACTCATTATTCAACGATACATAGCACTTGAGACACGCGCAACATCCACTCACTAAATAAGCTCAAATCGTAAAAAGTATTTCATCTGGTTTACTTTTTGCGTTGTTAGTTCAACTTGAAGATAATGCACCTATAGTCACTAGCCGATGACGTGATAATGTAACAATAATAATTCGCACAAGAAGGCACTCAAAGTAGTAGCAAATAGGTCGAAGTTGTTACAGCAGCAGCAGCAGCAGCAGCAGCAACAGCAACGTAATGCCAGTAACAGGCCACACACGCGCGCGGACCGAAGTTCTCAAAAACCGGACATTGCGAATCATCTGCAATCACTCGCGCCCAGATAGGGAGCACATCAACACATACACGAGTACAGGATGGTAACAAAAGAATTAAGCAAATGGAACGGTAACTATTAAAGGCGGATGTTTACACGAAAAGCCAGCCTGCCTTTCCCGTTCGGTATCTGTCTACTTCCTCGGGCACTAACAAAAAGCACAGCTGATCCTCACCGCACGGCATAACCGATCCACTGCTCTAACGAGCTCTGAAGCTCTTTCTACCATTGGTTCATGATATCGCTTCCAGAGCTCTGTTCTGGTGAGTAATGTGGGTGTTGCTCGTTCACTAGAAACGAATAACAATCGTTGAACGGAGCGATATGGCATAGAGCAATAATTATGATATCAGCACTAGTCAAACTAGCAGTTACCGCACATACACACACACGCACGGAGTTTCCCTCCGTCACCTGCACGGCTATAACGACGCGCTAAAGAGGAGAGGGATGGAAACTACAGTCAAAGGGATGGAATCCAGCTTGATGGGCATTATTTGTTTGTCTACCTATTATTAACAGCTGTAGAACTTTGCTGTTTTTTAATAGTAGCAGTAACAGAGACAGTGACGGTACTGCTGCGGCGATGCTGGGTGCTGTGCTGTGTACCGTTAGGCCCCTCCGTCAATCGGTGGATCTCAATATGCTGCTGTGCGCGTAACGTCCTCGTAGACGTTCAGCTGCCGCTACTGCTGCTGTCGTGACTGTTCGTCGACCGTCACCGTCCGTTTCTATATGTTGCCGTCGCCTAGAAGGAGCTATCCCTTTTCTCCTTCCCCGTTGGGCAGCGTAAACTCACTTCCACTGCAAGCTCACGACAGCCTCTGTCGTCCGTGTTAGTTTCCCGGCCACCCTGCTGCTGCTGCTGGTGCTGCTGCTGCTGCTGCTCGCGCCGCCAGCGCCGCAGTCGCTGCTCCTGCCAGTTCAACTGGCGCCACAGCCTGTCCTGCTTGCGGCTGTCGTGAACATCCCTTCACTGCAGCTACCACATCCGTGAGCAATCGTAGCGCCCTCGTCGGCAAATAAAATAATCTCCGCCGCGTTTTAGTGCTCCGTAAGACACGGCCAAGTAGTTGGTGATGATCTAAGACGGTAGTTTACTTCTGTAGTACACGCTGAAGCACGTCAAAACGTCGGACACTATATGACGACGTCGATAACGATGTTAATGACGGTCTTTCATGAACTTAATTCTTTAGCTTTTGTCTCGTTATTGTGGTAAAGTTAGCAGAGTTTCATGGAAAAAGGTGGAACACGGGTAGTCGACAGCTAAAAACTTGTTGAGAGCTAAGTCTTGGCAGCGAATATCGTGTAGTGGTGACCGCTACATTCAAATCAGCTGTTTGTTTCAGCAGACTAGAAAAAGGCGGTAAATTGCCACCCGGAATCCCGTTGCAGTGATGTCATCGTCATCATCAACATCAACCTGCGATGATAGACGACTACACAAACAGACCTTCAGCTAAGGAAAAACCAAAGGTAGCAAGTAGTCTATTCGAACTAGTTGGGGATTTAGCCCGCACAAACACTACGTTACCACTGCACCATCACGAAAACAAGTTTGCGCATGAACAGTTTGTCGCGCTTCGATAAAAACAGCTTTAAATTGTTACTGATTATTTCAGTTGGACCCAACGAGTCAATTACGAGACTCGTGTCGCCACAGCGCAGGGCTAAATGTTAGAAATTAACATGTTCCAGATATCGTCATATCTGTATTTTTATTCGAAAATCATCACCATCCTCGTCGTCGTCGTCCAATTCAAGATGGCAGCTCCCACAAATGAGAAATAGAACGCCTAATGCCGGAGAGGACGCCGTAGCTTCACTAATGAGATTTTCAAGATCGTTTACTTTTGATTGACTTCGTTTCGAGACCACACGACAACGTCCTAAAAAAAGGCTAAATGTTTTATTAGGTTTTGAATTGAATAAGTTTGTTTTCTTCTTTTTCCAAGATTAAGCATTTTTGTTGCTAAAAGCAAAATTATATATTAATAAAGTTACTAAATTTACTTGGCGTACGAAATATATGATATTTGTGCAAAAGCTTATTTTTTTGCGACCTTTTTCAAAAATAACAGATATGTGAATACATGGCAGTCTTTCTGGTTAAGCAGACAGACCGCTAAAAAACTGCCAGGCCCTCTCCAATTGCTTTGAATATAAATATTGTTGAGAAAGCTGATAGGCCAAAATAAGCTGCCCTTACAAGTAACGAAACTCCCTTGCACGTTACCGCGCACTTTCTAACTGACTCGATCGGATAAAAGTTGTTTTAGTTTAGTTAATAGATATTTACTAATAACCAACAAGGATACAATTGTATCTCTACCAATGTAGTTGTATTTGCATCAGTCTAAACATTAAGGCATATGGCTAGGTTATGAAGGAAGTCAATAAATGACATAGCATATCTGTCACTGACATCGTCCTCCATTTCAAAATGGCGCCCCTCATCGGAGTAAATAGAACGTATGGTGAAAGACGGAGTTCGCGCCAAGTTAGCAGGCTGCGCATCAACCAACAACACAGTTTGAAGTTGTATGTAGGACCCTCGTGGCCGGCAGCCTCTCCGCACGAAAAACATCCGACGAGGAATAAAGCTAACGACTGAAAGTGACTTTGTACCTTTAAAAGTCTTACACATCTTACCTTTGATTGCTTTATCCCATCTGCAAGACCGTTATGAGGTAATTTAGACAGATATTAAATTATACACATATAAAATCCCATAAACCATGCGTAGAGCATCCTATATGTAGTAAAGCGACAATGCAAACGATTGAATAAGGTACATTTAAAATCAGAAATAACTTAATACAGCCACAGTAGACTTCTGTATAGATCTCAGTGAAGACGATTGATATTTATAGGCAATGACTAGATAACAGAAATGCTGTTGGCAGCTTTTTATGGTCGATAATGTAATGTGATTCGTGTTGTTTTTGTCATATTCATATTTACAGAACGGCGATCTTACATGACCCGTTGTTCTGGTCAGGCGTCGGTACCGGAATTAGTTGTTGTGTAGCATTGGGTCTTATTTTTGTTAATCGGCGCACCTTCAGCCGCCTAATACCCTTCAAATCCTTTGGGAAGATGATCTTACATTTCGGTAAGTGTTACATTATGTCACAAAACGTAAAGTAAATTATTAGTACAGCATTGTATGTAAGTTGGTTTTCGCAAACCGATGCTTTTCTGTACTTCGTAAACATCAAAAAAGTAATATATTTACTCCTTTGAACTTACTGAATTTCTCTTTTACTTTAGAACGCTTATGCGTATTTTTTTGAGGTTTAGTTGGGTTGAACTTATTATGGAGAAGCATTGCTTGTACTGCTAATTTCATGAGCTAGTTGTCAATAGTTACGCTGTCGTGAGACGATGAAAGTAATAGGTAAACGGCGAGATCGCTGGGAAAACTGTACAAGGTGCAGCAGGAAACGGTCTAGGTATAGGCAATGCGTGGACACTGTTGAGGATGAATGCTTTGATAAGCTTGAATACAATTCATCTGCCATCACATGTATGTATCTATTATACGTCATAGCTCGCTGCTTCTCGTTACATCTTGGCATCTCGTTTTTTTCGTTAATTCTTTTTTCACAGATTTATTGTACTATTTAAATTTTCCTGACTGTCATCTTTTCGCTAGAAATCGTAGCTATCAATGGCTCATTCATTGTAGCTGCTAACGCGTGTTTCTATTGGTTACTATCTGCGTTCACTTTCTTCCAACACCTCAGACAACTAGTTGCTATAAGAATTTATCTGTTTAATTTCAAAGTTTTCACATGACATATACATGTGTATATATATATAATACTATTTTGATCTACCACTAGACACAGCACTTCGGATATTTATGATCCGTGCTAAATATAAGAACTAATCATAATTTACCAATAAATTGGAAGACAATTAACGAAGTACTGACTATTTCATAAAAAAAATTCTGAATATTGCAATTTTAGATGAGAAGACGTTTCCTCGAGATACAAAAATGGTTCTCGTTGTGCGAATGGACTGTAACATGGAAAGAGGAAAAATCGCCGCTCAGTGTTCACACGCCGCTGTCCTGGCTTATAAAGAGAGCACAAAGGTGCAGCATTTAGGACTATAGGCTTAATCCTAAGATGTAAAATTCGTAAGGGCTTCGCAAAGCTTGCTAGAATGCTTAAGACAAACAACTTGGCTGATAAGAGTATATTTTGTGTTGCAATATTATTAACATATTGATCTGTTTTCGACACGTACAAACTTCAGGACAGTAGATCGCCTTATCAAATTTATTGCTTTGAGTAACTATCTAGCATGTAAGTGAGATTTATAAAGGGTGATTATAGTGGAATAACACATTGCAGTGCAGTGTATCAGGCGTTCTACTGTCATGCTGCCGATGTATAATAACAAAAATATTTAAAATACTACTAGACACCATCAAAATTCACAATTCTTGCAATATTCTAGATTTACACATATTTTTAGTCCACAAAGGTGTACTTCTAAACTTATTTTCAGTGCAGACTATATATATATATATATATATATATATATATATATATATATATATATATATATATATGCGAGCACCTAAAAATAAAAAAAACAAATTTTCGCTTCCAGATCCAGCCGGAAATGTTGCAAAGATGGGATCTTACCGGGCAACCAAAGGTCGTTGTGAAAGTAAATTCTGAAGAAGAGATGCTACAAATTTACCAAAAGGCTAAGCGTTTAGGTCTTGTCACATCAATGGTACGGGACGCAGGCCGAACACAAGTTGTCCCTGGGACGAGAACTGTTGTGTGTATAGGACCTGGCTTCAAAGATACCGTCGATCAGTGCACTAGCCATCTAAAACTACTTTAAAAAATATCTAAGGGAAAAACAATCGTTTACCATTAACCACGCTCGCTAAAAACCAACTGAGTGTTATGTTTGTTGGTACGCAGCTGATCTCATTTTCATTAAATAGCTTGCAATAAATACACTTGTACTTACTAAATCATCGGTGCTCCATGTTCATATAAATAGACATTACAACTCATTAATATTATTTCGGATTTGTCCAAGCGGCGCTACCAAGAGAAGAAAATGAGAAAAGTGACATAATACGAAAAATAATACTTATAATGAAAATAAAATATCTACAAGTGAAAATCAATTGATCGAAAATTGATCGTTTTTTATTTGTCTGAACAATATTTAATGCCAAACGCGTAGGTTGCTGAGTAAGAAAATGATCGATGTATGTTAATATCAGTATGTCAAGTACTTGTACTAATAATAATGCTAATAAATAAAGAGTCACTTTTTTATCATAGTCTGTTTACAAGACACTGTTCATGTATTTAGAATACGTTTAAAATTATAGCATATCAGTATCTCCGATCTTCGACCTGTTGGTAATGTAGATACGAAACGATTTATTATGAACTATTTGTGATTAGACCATTTAATTGGGTTAAGCAAAACAAGCAGCTCACTTTACAAAATTCTTTTACCTATATAAGTATGTTGATGAGGTGCGCATACTACTGCAGTTAACCAATTAATACTCGGATGTTAATACTAGCAAGTATATGTATATGATCGTAGGTGAATTCATTGTACTTGAAACAGGCTAGGTATTTGCGTGTTTCTATAACTGAAAAAATGGACAAAGACAGCTAAATTTACTCAACTTTGTAAATTCGTAATAGTATCTATTACAAAGATATATTAAGAACATCCATTTAGTCGTAAAGGTTTATAATTTTGGCCTACTATTGAACATTCTGAAGATTAACATCTCAATCGTTTCACCATTTTTTAATCCTGAATTGTATTTATTTTCTATTAAGGTCCTACGCGTGATAGTTTAGTATGACACATAATACGATATATGTGATTATGAAATGACATTGCAGATTTCTGCGCTCCGCTTTCCTAGGTTCAGCAATGCATCGGAACTGTGATACAGTTAGGAGTCGGAAAACGATCTTTGATTCCGAATTAAATATGTACAATAGTATATTTGTAATCATCCTCACTAGGATTACAGTCATATGCGATTTACAATATTTCATGTAGGACAGGGTTTATTCCTAAAAACAGCCACATTAATTACATTATACAATTTTGTACGTGTCCCTATATATACTTTTAAATGGAAGAGGCAGGCGCACGAGGTTCATGCCATTAAGATCCGCGAGCGTTCGTGAATCATTGTTTTGTTGGCATTATAGCTCTGAATAAGCCATCCTGCAGTTGTGAGCACAGGAACTTTTCTCGTACTTTGAGAAGTGCAGTTACTCGCAAAATTCCTTTCTTCGCCGTCAAACCCCGGATGCTTCTCGAATGTGCGTGTGAAAATCTGGTCGCACTGGATAAGGCTTTAAGTAGAAAGTATATCTGGAGTCGCACAATCTGGACGTCGTATATGCAAACCTGACGTAGGCAATAGCTTCATAGTTGTCCTCGACTACCTCAGCCTGTAATCAGCATCATACGAATTTCTCGTGGTTGTTGCGATGGACAACGTTTCTTAGATACGGATGACCTTCGATGGCTAAGCCACACTGAAATCACAGTCCAATGGGCATGAACGTCAAAATCGTGCAGTGGTCACGTCAATGCTTGAAATGAACGTTATCTGGCCACCTTAATGGTAATGCCGCAAGCTTCACTGCATGCAAGGCGGGCCCTTGGGACAGGGTACATCTCTCATGTTCGATGGCCGTAACAAGATTTACGGAGCCCTCTCCCACAAATACCTCAGATAAACTCAGATAAAGAGTCAGCATCAATAACCGTAACTACTATAGAATAAAACTCTGTGTGCTTAACTATGACACCTCAAATATGTTGCATTTGCAAATTTTAAGGTTTGATCGCAACTAATTGTAGTTATCAATAATAAGTCAGATTACTGTAGACACATTGTATATATTTGTATCGTAGTTGTTCAGCGCAACCGGTCACATTGGTAACAGTTACAAATGCACGTGTGTTACAGAAATAAGAGCCTTAAGATATTCTTGGTTAGTGTTCTCCAGCAAACTTTTAGCTGATAAAGTTATGTCACGTAAAATCTAATAATGCTCCTAGACTTTTGCCAGAAGATAGATAAAAATCTGAAACGAAATATCTACACCATTCATACAAGACAAATATATGTTTCCGCCCACGAAGCATGCAAATATCCCATGCTTCTATATATTGTGAAATGTCGACCATGTTCAATAAACTTCATCTTTAAAATCGTAGATTAAGTGAAATGGGTTCTTTATATCTCAAGCTACCAAGCATCACCCAAGGTTCTCTAAAGACGCATCACGGCACTCGTGTATTAGCTGAGGTTTAGGAGAATCTTTTTGCTTTTGTTCCGTTAGTTTCCTTTCATAGGTAATAGAAATTTCATTTGTTTGACACATCTCCTCGTTTCGCAACGTCATTCTGGGCCCGAGGACCTTTCAATCCCACTAACCCTCTTCTTGGTGTCCATTGGTCCAACGTAGCGCTCGTTTTCTGCGTCTTTTCTCTTGTTTCCAGCGCCTCCATTAACTTTTTTGCTCCTAAGCGTCTCGACGTCCGTGAACACAACGGAAGAGCCACCTGCGGGTGACGTTAGCACTTCGCCTTTCACAACCTATTGTGGTAGAGAGAGGAAAATAAACACTATTACAAAAGCTATATGACTTCATATTTACTAATAGTATATACCTTATTTGATTATACGCATGTCTCAGAGGGACTGGCAAGCTATGCTTCAAATTCGCAAATGGAGGCAAAAACCTCCTTCCCAATGGTTTCAATATTAATATGGAACGGAATTTTTTTTCACAAACCTGAAAATCGGGTCCTTCGATTGTAACAAGTGCGTACTTATTAGCGGACTCGAGATCTTTTGTCTCAAGTTTTGTCACACTTTTTTTTTTCGACATATATGGCTGCATAAGCAGATCTTTTTGTATGCTAGTTACACCGTCCATGTGTTCCAACCAACGTGCATCACTGCTTTTTGACCTACTCCGAGTAGTTGGACCATAACACTTTAACTTCGCAGTCACCATCTCCATGTCGCTCAGATCGGGCTCCGAAGTGCTGGCAGCCGATTTCTGCCCACTGGATCGTTTGTGCGTTTCGAGCGTATGGAAGGTTTCTGAAAAATCGTTAGTAAATAATCGAAAAATTCAGAGACGTTTAAATAGCTAACTGGCATATTATGTATCTTTTAGTTGACGGTTCCATTTTTTACATATCAGGTTGATTATAAATATAGCAGCGCATACATTCTACACTTCAACAAGATAAATCTGGACAAAGGAAAAATAGGAGAAGATCAGCCTATTTAAGTAAGCATTAGATATAGATGTTTTAAAGCTTGTGATAGCCTGTGGTTGTATCGTCCACTTCAAAATTGGTTCTGAAAGCGATCCCTTTCTTATATAATTATTAGCAACTTCGCTCTAACCTGGGTAAGTTCTTTTGTTTACAAAAAAGCGATTGCACGATTCCTGACTTTAAAGAAGCTGTCTTGTCAACAAACTTGGTAGGTGCAACAATAGTATCTAAACTGAATGGTTCAGTGTGACGGTCGTCATCTGAGCTTTCCTGCTCGTGTTCACATTGCGATAACTTGGAGTACAACTCACGGGTCCTTTGTTTAAAAGGCTGGGGCCTTTTTGGTGTACGGCTTCTGGCACTAGCTGACTCAGGCGCGGATGAAGTCAGATGTTCGTACTCGTTTTTCTGTAGTAGGTCCTTGACAAGATTTTGCTTGGCTTGTGCTGCGCCCTTTTTCATCGCCTCAATCTTCTGTTCGTTCAGAATTCGATCGTATTTTGTAATAAGAAGGTCCTTTTCCTTAGAGCACTTCTTCTCTATGTCTTTTTTAATTCTAACCTGCGTACAAAAATTGATTAAACATTAACATTTTTTTCAAAGCGACTTCGGTCCAAATGAGTGTGTTAGGCTAGATGCGAAAAAGAAGCGAGGGTCACTGAACTTTCATGTTTTCGGTAGGGCCAAATGTCGTTTTTTTTTTTGCTGCGATCTGTCTGTATATATAATTAATGTGTGCCAGCTCCGTGATAATCAATTCAGATCTATAAATTAATTGCATTAGCTTTAGGCATTAGATTAAAATAGATACTACTTATTGGTTTCGTCTATTCACAGTGAGAAGTTTTAGTGACACAAACACTTGAAAAAAAGTCTTTCCACCTGCTCGTCCTTAGCTTTGCGATGTGCTTCTTCTAAATGACGAATTCGTTTCTCAGCATACTCTTTCTTTGACTCAGCTTCAATGAGTTTCTCTTTCATGGTTTCCTTTTCGCGACGCTCTTGATTGAATTCCGCAAGCAAGTCCTGAATAGTTTTTGACTTCTGCTTACACTCTTTATCAGAGGACGACAACCTGACGAAACGTGCATATTTGAAAATCAGGTATGGTAGTGTATTATATGATGTTCCTAACGAATCCCTTACGCTCAGGCCGACAAACAACTTCATGAAGCTGCCGATATTAGAGCATGTAATGAGCTTATCAATATGAAGTTAACAGACTCAATTCTCAGCCATGCGCAATGAACTATTAGTACTTCAATAATTTCGCCTAGAGACTGGCCAGATTATTGACGCAATAACAAACATAATTATAATGTTAAAATTAACCACTAGCAAATATGTTTCACGTTGAATCACATGGTTTTAATTCTTTACCTGGCCGCCAACGAAGTGTATTTGTTGTATACAAGTCGATGTTTTCTATTCTACTATACTAGATAGTAAGCAATGTAAGCGTTTACTTACTTCACTTTTAGACTGCGTCGTTCATCATCCCATTCACGAACTGTATCTTTGACAGCCTTGGCAGTTTCATAACATATTGTTCTGATGCCCTCCCATTCTTTGGCGCCCTCTTCAACCAGTTTCATAATAGAAATCATTGCAGCTTCATTATCAACCTCACTCATGAGATAGCTGGGAATATCTGTCGACTCAAAGTATACTGGTACGCGTAAATCATCCAGCGAAGAAATTGGCGTTGGCTCGACGTACTGCTGTACTCGGAGCGGCTGAACTCGCTGCAATTCAATTTCCTGCGCCGTCTCAGAAAATTTCAGCACTTCGAGCGTCTGAGTGCAATCCTCAGCATGTGGATTGACACAAACGACCATCTTGACTCGGCCCCGGCCCTCGAAGAAGCTCTTGAATAGATAGGTTAGTTTGCATTCGCGATACGGTATATTCTTATTGGCATTTGGATTTATTTGATTTTCGCGCAGGTAATCCAAACACTTGCGTAGTACAGTAAGTGACTGATTAATATTGTTCGCCTCTTTAAGGCGATCACCACTTGCACCCGTCTTCTTCTGCTGTTCACAACCAGCGAGATCGACGAGGTTCAGTTGGGTAACTGTAATATACTCTTTCTTTTGTACAACTCCGCCGGAACACTCATCTACTGGTGCCTGAACCACCTTTACAATGAAAACCGAATGGCTTCGCGAACTCTCAGCATTCATCAGTGTACTTGCCACTCGTTTACGACGCTGTCCGCGCATCCAAACCTCCATCGCCTCATCCGCGCTTTCAACCTCAACCTCAGCCGCTCCAAATACATACTTGGTTTCTTCGCCACGCAAAATTCGTACTGATGGGCCTCTGGCACGACCTTGCACACTAGCAGGCTCTTCCTCTAAAAGGTCGTACACGCAATCATTGTAGATCTCAACAAATTGCACAAAAACAGCAACTTTACAATACTCGGGGATGTCTCCCGAAACACGCGTCGAGTCTCTCTCTCGTTGTAGCCACTCCTTATGCTCATTCCGCTGCTTTTTCTTCGCCGGAGTTCGCTCTATAGACTGGGTAGCCGCCCGATTTGCCAACATAGCGTTCTACGATAATAATGATAATATTAACAACAAAAGCAACAACACACAAGCAAATTTTTTTAACATACCTATCATTTGCGTACATGTTGATGGGATATACAAAAATACCGTAGTAATTCTTAGTAAATCATAAGCCACTCCAACTTTATACACAAACACTTTTTAATGAAAACCAGTATTTTTTTAACTCATAGGAGATTTTTTTCTACTGAGTATGCGTTTGCTGTGTCCTTGTTCTATTGAGAGTGGATTTGTTTTTCGCGATTTTTCCTTTTGACAAGCTATAAAAACTGTATGTGATCTTGTCATTCTTAAGGTGAACAATTAGGTGGAATTTAATAAGCGAGTAGTGTACCTGGCGATCAACCATTGCATCGGCTTCACCTCGGATGTCATAACTGTTGAGGCCATCAGGCTTAAAAAGGAACTTCATCGCCTTCAAATTTGGAGGCAAACTGTTAAAGAGCACATCCAAAGACCTTGGCAGTAAGCCTACGCTCTGGGGCGTACCTGTAATATCAATTCAGGTTAATTCAGTGCAGTAAAATCAGCGAAAAAAGATTAAAATAAACTAATTTAGCCTCTTCCTTGACAGCTTTTCTATCCTATCATAGAAGATTATTTATATTTACCACTCATTGTGTACGTTTTGCCAGAACCCGTAATTCCGTACATAAAGATAAGTGCCGGTTTGCCCGAGAGTACATCGTGTACAGACGACTTTGCCACTCGATCAAACACATCGGCTTGCCCACTGTGGCCCGGAAAGACGTGCTCAAATGTATACCTCGCAGGTTTCTTACTGGCCAGTAACCTACTCAAAACAAAGAAAGGCTTAGTACTAGTTATCCAAGATTCAAAAACGGCTTAATAATAAGTATGAAAATCTATTTGTCATATTATGTAGAACTTGTAGAAATCGATGTATGACAACTGGTTGTCTATACGTTACGAGTGACTTAAGGACCTATTATACATGCTTGTTGTAAGTCGTGGAATCGCAATCGAATAATAAGATTATAATACAACACAAAAGATTACAGAAGAAACATCATTCATACTATAGTTAGATAACAAAAAATTGCACCGATACCTTGATCCTTATTATTACTGGTGTGACTAAAGCACACTAATAATGATAGAATAGATTGCGTGAACATGTTCTTTGCTAACAGAAGACTACTGTTTATACATTGAACGGTTCAAGCATTGTTGTTTATAATTACGTATGGTATCTAGGAAGTTTAAAACTGGCGTACCTCTGACCAGTCAGTTGAGCCGCTTTTTGTGGGTCGACTATGATGGCTTGCAGACTCTCGATTTCAACAATTCCTAACTCGCTTGAGAGGAGCGGCTTCAGGCGTAAATAGACCTCCACGCGGTCCATTTCGTTATCACCTGAGGTGTCTGGGGTAACGGCACTGTCTCCACTTCCACTAAAACGGCACAACACAGCAATAACGGTTAGCCAAGTGAATTTACACGTTAGGTTTATAAAGCGTAGCGAATTAACTGTACATTAATTAAAGATTAATATGCAACTCTTGTCAATTAGTACAACGTTGCCTTAAGTGTCTCTCTTAGTAATTAAATGAGCGCGATAATTACGAGCTTGTGTTAGTTAGTTAACAAGTAGAAAAATTTCTTCTGAAAAATAGTTAATAAAATAACTAGCAGCAGAGACAAACTTTATCCAAAGACTTATGTAGTATCTTATTTAAACAAACGTTCCATTGGAAATAAAGCAAATCATTTTACACCCTTACATAAACATTTTTAAACATACATACAACATAAACGAAGTAACAAACAAAAGGATCGTGTTCTAACTATACGATGCTTTGCCTGACACATTATTTGCACGGCTATCTATATTACGAACACCTGCACCGGTCCCCGAGACGTCACTAAAGTACATTCCTAAACTCCCAAAATCGAAATTTATATTATTACATATTTACACCCACTTTTTTCCATTGAAAGTATATATTGAATAGATCAACGTCTTACTGCTAAAAATGGCACAAAACTACTCAGACGATATAAAGAATGTTAACGTTTTGTCCCCCGGCCAGATTACTTCACCAGCAACGGGCCCGGGTGATTGTCGTTAAGCTTTATTATTTACTTTGTAGTTCCACTAATGTAATTCACTGATCGTTGTGCGTTACTAGTTGTAATTTCATTACAGTTGAATAGCTATGCTCTCATGTACGTAGAGTATGGTTTGACCTTAATTGGCCATAAAAAGAAATACCCGTAGAAGATGCAGTGTGATCAGTAGGATGAGGGGTAACACTGTTCCTTTTTTGCGCTTTCTAATTCGTCAGGTTCGTTTTAATACAGTTCTACTATTATCCGTTGGCGATCGGTAACGTTAAGCCAACTCTGCGTTACTTTTGCTGCCAAACGCTTATTGAATGTTGCATAACAGACGTTGCAATTAGTAAGCTGCATTTCGATTTATAAGGAAAAGAGTTGTCGTTCGTTTTAAAGGGATAATCAAATTTTTCAAACGTCTATACAAAATTACTTCTGGGTTCACCACTACTGCGAACGTTGCAGAACTATCACTGTAAAAGGTGCTAACGCTGAGTTAGTAAGCTTACCCCGACATTTCTGTTAGTTATCCAAATTAATTGGATATCACAAACGACCCTCGAAATTTATAACCACCACCAATCGACCGATTTTTGCACAATAGAACTGCTACCTCGGTTTGTTAGACTCGTCAACTCCAATGGTGGCGCCATTCAAACCGCGGCCAGAGGTTCTGCCGGGATGGTGATAGAAGCTTAGGCGCTGCCAATGGTCTGATATGATCGAATGGTTGCCACAGCGCGGGAAAATTCTAAATCCCTTTTGTAAATGTACAAACACAAAGCACCCCGTGCTTAGCTACAATTTATGCCGCTGCATATGTGAAAATGAACATAAACGTAAACGCTTGCTGATTCAATGAGTCAAAAGCTAGCGCTACATCTGTAATCACCTTAATATCACAAATGTAACAATGCAGTAGGGAGAACAAATCAGTGGACCTCAAGGATCTTGGCAGAATGGCATTTGCTGTGAACCTTTTAGCAAGGCATGTTCTTGAGTTAAGACACATTTCGATGGAAAATGTATATTATGCACATACTAATATTAGGAGAGCTAAATTTCTAAAGGACATCATCAGTAAATAATAAAAACGTATAAACATAAATATGTTCCTGTAATGCAACGTAAACAGTAAGCATTTGTGTCTAAACTACAATTATAGAATTTCTAAACGCTTTTTGTTATTGCATATTTCATTTGCTGTTATCTAGATCACACGAAGAACAATGTACGGCGCACACAATAGCGCCATTAGGCAACGTTGAAGGCTGTGGTTACAACAATCATCATAATTTTTCTTCTTACATTCTATAAAGGACAAACTCTACTAGAAATCTGACTCAAAGGAAAGCAAACTTCCTGCGCGGGTGTTCACGTTAGCCTTTAGGTGAAGTCTCTGCTTCTTGCTTTTGACTGTTCGATTCTATTTTGCCTGGCTCAAATTTTATTACTCTCGATAGCTTTTGATTCGCTGAAATCACAGACTGTTTTGTCTTAAGATAAAACTTGATTGCAATGTGTTTGGTGGTAAGTTTGAAAAAGTTTTGACTATACATATATACTAAGGAATAGAAAAATTAGGACCTATTGTTCAAACTAATTACTGAGGACCTTATAAATAAAAAAAAAAACGTACAGTTTTAAAATGTTGACATATTGACGTTTGCTTCACTACGGCCTCCAAACGCTTGAAATATACGCAACCTAAATAATAATAACAGTGTTCTCCGAATGATTTTAACGTAGACTTCATTTTTTAAAACTTTACCTAAATTACACGTTAATTAAAGTTTTTGATCAAATCTAATGAAATGGATTTCATAGAAACTCATCTGTGAACCTTGCTTCAGTTAGCTAACTGAACAATGCAAACAGAATAAGGTAGGCCGTACAAAACCTAAATGCTAAACCAAAATCACTATCCTGTGAGTAACACACGACCGCTCATCAAGTTACAGGGAGGAAAATCATTAATGGAGTCGAATGGCTTCTGGCGAAATTTTTTCGACAGCAAGAGCCTAGCAGCTCGGCTCCATTTGGCACTGCAGTGATCGCAGCGAGCTTTACAATTCCACAGGCGGAACTTGCAGAAACCTGTCTAGATCTAACTTAATTCGATATGTCAACATACTTGAAGGGGATTGTTTTGAAAAATTAAACTATTCCTATATTATATTTGCATCAGGCGTATCCCATGCCCTTTGAGCGTCTATTGACGTTACACCGATTCGTAGACGCTGTAGGCATGCCTATTACGTTGTCTAGAGTTCTGCAGCTTGATACGCGGTCCGGCTTAGTTACGCTAACTTCTTTCTCTAACTAAAGTTCACTTCCTTTCGTTCTAGGAATTGCCGATATGTGGCCGCTGGCATTGTCCAGCAACTAGCTATTAAAAATACAAAGTCATAGTTTTCCAGGACTCATTTTATATTATGCTGATAATATTACACAAAATGATATGAATCCTTATGATACAATCCAATATTAATATTATTATCATAATGTTAATCTGATATTATATTAACACGAAATAAGGTGATGAGCGCGCTTCGCGGCTTCCTTAACAGTATCCAAAGGACCCCAGAGCCAGAAGTTATGAGACACTCAAGGCCGAGCTTTAGCCAGAAAAAAATATGAAATAATCAGCGAATAAATAGGCCAGCTGTAATCCAATTCTTAAGTGAAACGAGTTAATTATTTAGTCAACTCTTATAATATTAAACCTTTGGAATGGTACAATGAAAATTTATTATAATTACGTGCACAATTCACTTTGCATAATATGGTACAACATTTAGATATATGTATATATAATTACAATATTATGTTTTCCGCATTTAGCAATATCTTTCTGTGTTTCGATAAGTTCACAGTTTCGCTGACTAAACTTCTTCTGACGCCTTTAACTATAGGCGCGTCTGTCCATATGTATCAAAAAATTTCACATGGTTATCGCGTAGCACAACATTTTTCATATACGGGTGTCCCTCAATAGCTACGCCGCACTGAAATCACAATACATTTTTAATTTTTAGATAGTAATTAAGTTAAACACTCGCTCACAGTCTATTATTACTCTGATAAAGTTCACGGTTTAGTCGATTTTTAATTGCAACTGTCTTTTCCTACAAGACATATTGTACCCGGCCCGAAACGTAACTTTAACGAAACAATTTGATGCTACTTCTTATGCTACCTTAATGCTTAACAGCGAACGTTTTTTTAAAATTAAATGTGATGTGTCATTTCTATACACACATATATATATATACACTAGCACCAAAAATTACTGATTATTACAGTGAACCCAGGTTTTATTTCCATTTTCAGATATTACAAACGTTACACATATGCATTGCGTTGGGACTCCACACTAGTATGGAAGGCTAGAGTAGGTCTGGCGGTTTCTTTTCCTATAGTGCGACCTCACATCTAACACCTCTACAGATTTCCGCTCAGTGTTCTTTGTGAGATTTGATTTAAAAAAATGATAATAAAAAATTCGTAAGGAAACATGCAAATCTTCTTTTGAGTTTTAGAGCCAGGACGATTTCCTGCTCTGGCGAATATTGTTTTTTTCTATTATAATAAACACAGCACTAAATTTTACTGACCCGCTTTCTGGTAACCCTTGGTCCTACTTGATCACTGTTACTTTCTGAATTTTTACTCTTGCCTGTTGTACCAAGTTTTTCTTTCCCCAGTACCTCGACATCCGTAAACACGACAGAAGTGCCACCAGTAGGCAAATTTCGTACTTCACCCCTCACAACCTGTTACAAACACGGAGTTTAAAAATAACAGTAAGTCCAATAGCTGAAATCCAATAGCCTTCGTACAATTGCACGCATATATGCCATTGCTAAACATGATTAGTTCCTGTTCTCTTTTGTTTATACTTGTATATATCTTTATTATTAGAGTCTTTTGTACAACTAAAACTTCTTACGATGTTTATCTAAGGTCAAAGCATATACACATAAACAGTACTAAAAAACATCTTAGAGTTCAAATGTATTTGTGGACACACCTGATAATTAGATCCTTCGGCTGTCACGAGCGCATATTTTTCAACGGACTTGAGATCTTTTGTTTCGAGCTTTGTCACGCTTTTTTTTCTTGATTTGTGTGGCTGTAAGAAAACATCTTTCTGTGGATCTGAAGTGGCGTCTATGTGCTCCAACCAGCGCGCGTCAACTCTTTTTGATTCGCTTTGGTATATAGGCGAGGCACTTTTTGGACTTGCAGCCGTTACTGTTCCCTCTGTATCGCTCAAGTCGGGTTCCGAAATGGTGTCGGCTGATTTCGCACTGTTACTACAATCTGTGTTCTTGTGCGTCTGATTTGTACAAACGTTTACTGAAAAATTGTGGTGAAGTATACATTAAAATAATTATGGCAGTATGTACTGTATTATCCTTATAGCCATTACCAAGAAAGACCACGCTTTATTAAAACATTTTTAACTTAAAAAAAAATTATTTTCTACGCATGATCTTATTAGGACCTCTTGTGCATTTGTCATGGATTAGGAGCGTCAGTTGACTATCTGCAGAGTTCATACATTTACTAAATGGGATTATCTATGGGACTTTTCAGTGACAGATTGAGGTAAGGTTGCAGTAAAAAACTTACGAGCTTGCTCTTTAAACGGCTGTTTCTTTTGTGGTTCTTTTTTGACAGTTTCTAACGGACTTTCCGGTCCGGAAAAATCCAGGTGTTTATACTCGTCCGTTTGAAGGAGATCCATGATCAAGTCTTTTTTGCCCCGAGCACGGCCCTCATTCATGGCCTGATTTATCCGTTCACGCACCATCTTATTATACTTAGCAACAAGAAGTTCGTTCTTTCTTGCATATTTCGACTCTACGTAATTTTTTATTCGAATCTGCATATCGATATATCGAAGGAATAGACAGTCATTTCGTTAATGCATTTATACTGTAGGTCAATAAACAGTATGGTAAACAGTCGCATAAACTAAACTAATCAAGAAAGCAATTATAATACAATATACTTAGAATGCATCTGAATATATTAGCAACATTAATTCGGTTATCTATCGATACGGTAGAGGTAACGATTAGAAGCTCCATCGATAACAATTTTCCCTTCGCAAGCTTGTTGCTTTAAGTGCTACTATATTTACCACCTTAAAAGTTAAAAGTATTCTTATAGAGTGGGCGCGCTGCTTTGCCCTTAAACAGCTGAATGAGTAATGAACATCTTAGATGCAGGTTTATATGCAGATATGCCAAAAAACTTCAATTACCTGCTCGTTTCTGGCTTTACGGCACGTTTCCTCGAACCGGTCGGCCCGTTTTTCAGCGCACTCTTTTTTTGATTCTATTTCAATCAACGTTTGTTTAAGGTCCTCAATTTCGTTACGTAACTGATTAATCTCCGCCTCTTGGCCTTGGATAAGCTTTGCCTGTCGTTTGCACTCTTTTTCACTGCAAGTTAACCTATTAAAGCAGAAAATAAGACGTACAAGCAGTACGAGTAAATTATCTTGCTCATTTCCATATATATATATATATATATACATATACATGACTAATACAATCCGGCCTTTTTTTGTATGTGTTATTATGAAAAGATTCTCTGTATGTACTGGAAGTTTACTTCGAAACTGTCATGCGTATTCAATATTATTACCATCCAGACGGTTCAAATTCGCAATCTAAACTATTCAGAGATTACTTTTAAAATATTGCTTCCTAACTCAACGACTTACATATAAAAATAACCGCGCATTAAACAGTATTGCTAATGAAAATTCGTTAAGCCGTCGCTTAAGTACGTTACATACAAAAATTTCAAGCAAGATTAAAGTTTGAACTGGCCAAAAGTTTAAAAAATGCCAGGACCTGAAACGACCAAAAAATCCAGAGACCGCAAATCTCAAGAAATCTAACTGCTGGAGGTGATTTGGACGACCCAGCTGGCAGCCGATATTCTGCTTTTTAAAACAGCCGTTTTTTTTTTTATCTATATATAAAAATTACATGTGTCAAGACTGGTTTTTCGAGCCGTTTTGATAAAATTTCAAATTCATTTTTTTCGGATTTTTTCTAAAGCCGCATGGGGAGTGGCAATTTCACAGAACCGCAATTTCGGATAAAAAAGGGAGTTTTTATTTTTGTCAGAGTTCATGTTTACCCATTACGAAAAAAAATGCCAGAAATGTTCAGAAACAAGTAACGTTCTTCTAATGACCAAAGTAGCGCGTTAAGGGGTGCTTGCTATGACAAACAGCTCGACAATTTTTGTGCGAATCTACTATATATATATATATATATATATATATATATATATATATATATATATATATATATATAGTAGTTTCCTAATTGCGTAAATATTCTCACCAGCTTGCACGTCGGAAAATCGAAGAAGGACACTCTAATTCTTACGCACTTGCAGTATAAGCATAGAAAAACGGATAGTAAGCAAAATACTATAGTTTTTAGACAGAACAAAAAAAGTCTTACTTTGCTTTCAATTGTCGTCGCTCATCGTCCCATTCTTTGGTGCACTCGTTGACAATCCTAGATGCTTCATCGCGTACCATTTTGGTACTCATCCACTCTTTAGCCTCGTCGAGTTGTTTCATAACCATCGCCATTGCGACTTCACCATCGTCGTGGTAATCACTATCTTCGTGACTATCATCACTGTCATTGGCGGGAACGCAATTTGATTTACATGATGGTACTCTTTGGGCACTGTCAAGGGACGGAGCTGGTGTTGGTTCGATGTAGGACCGTATCCTGTCAGGCTCTCGAATTCGCTGAAGTTCAATTTCTTGCGCGGTCTCAGCAAATTTCAATACTTCAAGGATTTGAGCACGGTCTTTGGCGCGTGGATTGATACACGCGACCATTTTGACTTTGCCCCGACCTTCGAAAAAATTCTTGAAAAGGTCAGTCAGTTTGCATTCGCTATACGGTATATTCTTGTGAGCATTTGGACTTACTTGATTTTTGCGCATATACTCTAGACATTTTCGCAGTACTGTAAGTGACTGATTGATGTTAGTTGCGTCTCTGAAACGATCACCGCATGCACCGCTGGTTTTTTGCTGTTTACAACTAACCAGATCGACTAGGTTCAGTTGAGTAGATTTAATGTTTCCTTTTTCCTGCAGAACTTCCCCAGATCTTTCGTTAATCGGCCCTTGAACGATCTTCACTATGAAAACTGAGTGACTTCGTGAGCTTTCAGTGTTCATCGATGCCCTTGCCATCCGTTTGCGACTCTGTCCACGCAACCACGCCTCTATTGCCTCGTCGGCATTTTCAACCTCGATTTCAGTAGCTCCAAACGCATATTTCATATCTACCCCGCGTAAAAGCACTTGCGGACCCCTGGCTTGACTCTGCACCTCAGTACAACTTTCTTCTAGAAGGTCGTATATTCTATCGTTGTATATTTCAATATACTGGACAAAAATTGCTACCCTATAATATTCGGGAATGTTACTTCGAACCCGCGTAGAATCCTTGCGTCGATTAAGCCATTCTTTATACTCATTCTGGTGCTTTATTTTCGCAGGAGTTTGCTCCAACGACGAAGTGATAGAATCTTTATTAGCCAACATTGCGTTCTGCAACCGCTTCAATATACCACAAAATAGCGAACTTATAGTAATGAAAAAGATTGCAAACAATTATTTCATGACTTAGGGCTAGTTGGACTTATAATTATACTGAAAGATATGAATAGCTTGGAGATTGCAATCAACAGATTTAAGCTTATCCCTATCAATGCTGAATGTATCTAGCAATTCCAGCGAAATAGCGCCATTTCAATATAACGCTAACATCCAACCCCATCGTACCCCACTTACGCATTGGAGATTTGACCTGTTTGGGTTCTTTCCCCATAATGACACTAAATGCAGTCTCTTACCAGCAGGATAAATATTAAAGCGAACATTTCTAAACAATAATAGTAATGATAATAATAAAGGAAAAAAACATGCTTGTACCTGACGATCGAGCATTGCGCCGGCCTGCGTGTTAACGTTGTAGCCGTTCTGTCCGTCAGGTTTGAAGATGAATTTCATCGCCTTCAAATTCGAAGGAAGACTGTTAAATAATAGGTCCAAGGCGCGAGGCAGAATCCCTGCATTTTGAGGAATACCTGAGGAAATAAAGATATAAACTACTCTGACGTGGAACAACAATAGTTACGAACCATTATGCTATTATACAGAACGATTTCAAACGATAAGTATTTATACTAGTTTTGAATGCATCGAGTGATTGAGCTGTATACTTACCACTTATCGTATGTGTTTTCCCGGATCCAATGAAGCCATACATGAAAATCAGTGCTGGCCTGCCCGACAATACATCGTGCACGCATGGTTTAGCAACTCTGTCGAAAACTTCGGCCTGACTACTTTGTACGGTAAAAACATGCTCAAATGTATACTTGATACTTTTTTTGATAGCCCCGTACCTGCAAACACAAGTCAAAGCTGATGCAAATGTGGGGGAGAATCTGAACAAGGGTCATTTGTCACTCTATGCCGCTGAATAGAGAAGTAACCTAATTAAATAATCCTTTAGTTAGAGTATATGTCGAAAGGTAAAAATACCTAAAAGCGCTTAATATATAATGAATTATTTTGTATGCGCTCATATGATATGCATGGACCCGTAGTGGGCTAAGCAATGAAGAAGACAAGCATTCCTCTGTTCGACTTGCCTGGCGGCAACGTAAGGACTAATGATAATTGCCCGGTCGCTATGTATTTCAACGATCTCCGTCTCATCTGCAGCCACAGGTTTAAGACGCAAATAGACCTCAATACCATCCATTGCGTACTCGTTAAATGTGCCTGCTGTTCCGTTTGTTACCCGACTCTCACTAAAATTGGCATAACCAAAAAAAAGTACAGTTAATATATTATCTACACCACCTAAGTATCACAAACTAAGGTGTCTTTCTATTATTAAGGCGAATATTGATGTTTGCAGTATACCTAAGCCAATTTGTTGTATTCAAAGGCAGCAACATATACAGTGAAGCAGTACACTTAATCAAAAATGTAGTTGAATAGAAGACTATACACAAAGGCAATTTCTACAGCTCTCAACTATTTCAAGACGTTTTCCATTAATTAGTAACCTCATTATTTTAAGGTTCAGTGATGACAGATGCTCCTATCTGATGAAAGCAATCCTTTGTAATATATTCCTCTGACCTATAATAATTAATGTAAATTGAACAGTTCTTTAACCGAAACTAGCCTATTGCTGAGACCTGGTAGATGCGTTTGACTAACGAAAAACTATTATCCTCTCGTCTACGTTAATCACCATGCCGAAGCGTATCAAGACAAAGGGAATTACCAGTTAAATATAGCTGATAATAAATGTCACGACGTGCTGCATTAAGTGCATTATAGCGTGATCAGAAAGAACTGTTTTTTTTAGAAGAAAGCGATGTGATTTCAAGAATCTCAGATCTTAGGCAACATTCTCTTTCAAAAATTGTCTACTACGTTTAAAAATACCAACACAATATACAAAAAGCCAACATGGGTACAAGTCCTACCTTGACGTATATACCAATCCTTTTGAAGCTTTTTAATACAAAAACATTACAACCTTTACATAAACGACAATTCTGACTAGATACTATGTAACTTATCTCTCGGACTTCGCGCCTTCCAATGCTCAGTAAAGTTCTTCTAGCGAGCGAATGAATGCATTTAGTGTGCATGTTTGACAACGAGATAACGGCTTGCGGGCGGCTGTAATGGGCAAGACATTTACTTATCCCTTCGAAAGCAAAACTTCGAAATTGTCAGTGTAATGTAGAGCTCCATTATGTTGTACGTACATCTAATCCATACTGGCAAAACATGATCAGTGATTCTGAATTATAGCCGATTCGTCCGGATGTGATGAAATCTTTGACAAAAATGACAAATGAAGCACAAACGAAGCTCTGCTCCAATAACGAAACACCGTATATTTTTCGTTGTGTCAGAAGCACGCTGTGAGTTTCGACATCCTGTCAAGCTCTATCAAAAGCAAGCAAATGGCGTCCCCGCAAATAACCCAAATACAATACGTCATGAACAAACTCGAGTATTTTGTATCTGATTATATTGAAAATGCTCCGAGTCAACGAAACGAGACAAAGGTTACGCTCAGAAAATGGTGAAAGATCAAAATCACAATAAACACGATGCGCTTTATTACTATTTCAGTTAAATCTAAATCTCAAATAATAGTTTTTGAAGAATGATTTCATATTTGTCACAAAACATTTGCCAAACTTCAAATAGCTTTCACTAACGGACCCAAAAGGACAATATCGAAGACACTGATTTGACGTTATTTACTTAAAGGTTGGCACTATGACTGCTTTTCTACAGTTATTTTTAACAGAACTGATCATCTGCGTTTACTGTTTCCATCATAAATGTATGCCTAGATTAAGTACTCGAGCTATTCATTATCTAATGCCCGCTGCTGGCTTTTGAAATGCAACATGTAGGAACTGTACCCAGTTTTAAATGACCTATGTTCTATGTTATGTGCAGATGTGCAGAACACATTCGTTTCTTTGCTTTGGGTACGAGAGAAAACGATCTTTTCGATATCCTCTCACCCGCTACATTATTAGGATCTACATTCGATTCAAGTCGACAACGACACCATCCGCGGCTCATGGCCAGCTGTTTATGATGTTCTATATCGTTAGCCCGACACACTAGTGGAGAAATCAGTTAGTCGCGCGAGTCCCCAAACACAGTGGCACATTACGACCGAAAGAACGCCGTTTTAATGTCGCCAAAGCTCGTCTTTGGAAACCGTGCTAGAACCGACCCGTTTTTTCGCGTTACTCTATTCTAACTCTGCTGTCAACTCTTTTCCAAAAAACGTCCGACAAAAGAAATTACCGAAAAATTTATTTTCCTACTGCTAAGTGGCCAATCGTTTCTCCCTGCTGCCTGTCTCGCAATAACCGGAGACTCAGTTGAAGTAACGACCCACGTTTGTTAGATTTTCATAGCAGCTGCAATGCTGTTTCCGTTATAAACGTCCGCTCGCTTCCCCAAGCCGCCGTTGGCCGGACGGAAACATTGTCAGTCGTCGGTAGGGGCGCCACTCTTCGTTTGGACTTTTATGTAGTGTCAGGCACTTGCAATCGAGGGAGAGGGTCCTTGAGCAGGTAACACAACGACACAATATTCAGCTGTCGACAGGTAATGACAAGAGCGCGCTTACCGTCGTCACCATCATCACCACACCAAAAATGTTTACTATGTTGCCGCCGCCGCTGCTGCTGATACATTCGTTTAGCCTGGTAGCAGTAGCATAGCTTCGTCTCCTCCTCGTTCTGCTGATGTTGTTTTCCCATTGCTTTCGGAAGCCGACCGCCGGTGTCATTCCAAATTTTTGCTCTGCACTTCACTGCAGCCGCAGTGCCGGCGGGAGCGGCAACATAGGCCTCAGCAGCAGAGGAAGCCACTTCCTTTAATATTGGCAGGGTGGAAAGTGTTCCGTTTTTTCGTCATTCTTCACGGGTCTTTCGTTCGGTTCGGTGTTAGCGTGCTTTCGTCGATCTACGCTTAATGCTGTTGGCGCTGCTGGCGTCGTCGGAGTGCGTATACATGCAAAAAAAATCAGCTGAATAAACGACCGAATCGACCTTAGTAATTGTACTGTTATTATTGCCTCCTATGAGGGTCTGCTGTGTTGTGGCAAATCAATAACCGTACGGCCTGGAAGTAAGCAGACAGGTGACAGTGATCGGCACCTGTCGATTGTCAGGCCTTAAATTCGAAAATACGGATTGACAGTCAGCCGATTAGCCTAGAGGTTGGCATGAAGTGAACTCCACGATTTTTGTGTTGTCTTAAATACTCAGAGGAACGTTTTTTAACTGATTAGTCAGAGTGGCAACAAAAAGAAACGAGCGGTGGTGGTAAGTGCTCTCTATACGCCAGGTGCATTCAACAGTTGCTAATTCGTATTCGAATGTAGACGTTGTTAGAATCTAAAGCACATTCCGCCACGTTGAACATCTGCTACAAGCGATTCTTTCTCTAAGAGATAGGGTAGTCCATGGTATATATATAAGTCAAGGGAAAAGAAAGCGTACAGCAACAATTGAAGTACGACATGCCCACCAGTTGTCTAGCTGGAAAAGTTGTACGCAGGATGGCTAATCCAACAGATATTTTGGCGGTGCCTTACTTGGAAGGCCTTATGTTTTAATTCGTTTTTGACATGTCTTTAACGTTGTTACGTCAGTAATATCCGAGTAGTATTGGATGGACATATAGAATATACTCTTAAGTAAGAGTAGATCGAACGGAAAGCAATACAACGCGTCAAATATTGGGACTTTAGTGAAATGTACGCGAAAATTGCTTTTAAACTTAAGATGAACGACTGCTATTACGAAGTGACGGAAAAAATTGCTTGTTGTCTCAATCCAATCTCACTCATGCATATAGATCTATATAATATATAGACCGTTAGTTAATTACAGACCAAAAATGTGTAATAACAGATATAGAATAATACTGTATTTAACATTTTCAGGATAAACTTGCATATGCTGTCATGACGCGTTGACAAATTGCAAGCGGAATATGTTCTTGGGCTTTTCACCGATATACGACCCGACAAGTCTTACGGATAGCTTTGGATGTGCTTTGCCGTATTCTTACTGAAACAGGTATCACATGCGGACATGACGATCGAATAAAATTACGAAGTAGTTTACTAGTATACGAACAGAACAATATTGGACGATATGACGAGAAGGAGAGAAAGAAGGGTGAGAGGGAGACTATAAACAATTACTCGTTACTTGGTCTGATGAGCTATTCGGGGGCCCCATTAAGTGTTAAAGTGTGATTTTTATTGATACTCCTAGTTTGGATATATATATATATATTAGTATAATATTAAAATTATTTCTCTATTACGGCGCGTACAGGCAACGTTGTATAATAGACCAGCAAATACGAAAGCCGACGCCGATCATTTTCGTCCAAGCTCGTGACGCCGTTCATTCCCTTGGGAATAAAGTAGAGCTTTTTCAGATAGGATAAGAAGATAAGTTGCAATACTTTGGCTCGCAGGGTAGCTTGACGGCAATAATACACGTCGAACATATGTTTATAAAATAGTTTCTTTAAAATAAGTTAAATATTTGAAACTTAAGTTTAAGTTTTTTGCTGACTTACCTAGAAAAAGCTCTTACAAGAATTCGATGTTAAGACTAAGGTAAAAGAAAATAACAGACTTCTTTCTTCATTCATGCAACTTGTGTTCTAGTAATAACAATAACTTGTGTAATAATAAATTAACTATGGCGAGATGCTATATAAGATATTCGTTTCTGACACTTCAGCTCTAGGTGAACTCGGTTCATACTATACGAAACATTTTTTTTTCACATTTGAACAAAGTTGAACTTTACGGAAAAAAAGTTTATTTATTTATTAAGTTTATTTATCAGCAAACTCAGCAGGCCATTACTGAAGTACAATTTTCAAGCTTTCGGCAAATCCCTTTTGCTATGCGAAAAAAATAACTCTCCTAATGGTTAGCTAGAAAATAATTACAGTTCAGGTCGAAATGTTTATCGGATTTATTATATAAAATTGTAGGTCTGATAGTAATCGTTTGAATATTCTATGCTTTGGCGACTATTCACGTGCCAAGTAACTATACTACAGTAGTTGCTACTTTTTTTTAAATTTGCCGTAAATTTTTTATCAACTTGGAAATCTTCTAGAACATAGGACAACGTCGAATTTTTCGGATCTTCATTTTTTCGAGATTTTTTTTTATAAATCTTATAAAAATCATAAGAGCGTAGATATTTTGCATATGAATAAAAACACAAAAATCAAAAAAGAAAATATGTTGCGTGAGCAAATATCAAAACCGGGTATGTTATCGCCCTAAATATGTTAAAGTTTTTACAGAGAGAAAAAAACTTTTCCATATAGCTTGTTTTTAGTCGAATAAGTAGTGGGATGTAAAGGTCTATTTACCGGTTGGTAAGCTGGGGTTCAATTAGTCAGAAAGCTTTATTCGTGAATTTTCCGGGTTTATTACGATTTCGTCGTCACTGCATGCAATTGTTTCACTGACGAAGGATAAGATATAAGAAATATTCTGATGCAATGTAGACTTAAATTAAAAAAATGCTTATTTTACTTCAGTACTTTCACGTTTCAGAGTTTTTTTAATATATATTGAAAAACTAATTATATATATATATATATATATATATATATATATATATATAATATGCTTTTTGACGACGATGTAATCCAAAAGTAGAAACGGCTTCACCTCGTTACGATCATAATAACTACAGTTGTACAATTAGCAAGCTATAAATTCCTGAATTGAAGACGGTCTTAACAACATCACTTTCATTAGCCCGTCTTTAGTTTCTATGTTTCTTTTGTGCTGTTTATTGCCGAAGCTGCTATTTTTTATGATGCAACGGGCCCCCGTGTTATTTCTTCGCTCATGGACCTGACCGCTGTATAAAAAGGCTAGAGTTTTTCAGCAGTGGATCTATCTGTTATTAAATAGAATTCCCACTGAAAAGCGTACATTGACAGCTCAGTTGCTGTAATAACCTATCGGCCGAAATGTCAGCAATAAGCACTTTCTTACGGCAAAAATATACTGTTATATGAGCCCGATTAAGAAATGCTCGTGGCTATTTTTCTCCTTTTCTTTACGTCGACCTGTACGTCCCGTTCGTAAAAAAACTACATTATACCTTGACTACGGACGCTTGCCCATTTATGGATATAATAAGAAGAAGGGATCTTCATTGCCTACAAGTTTTTTCCGGCACGATGCGCCACCGAACTATTAGCTAGCGCTGCTAGTTCCACTAGTATACGTTGTCTTATGTCAATTTGTAATACATGCCTACGTCTCTAAGATCTATTGGATTTAGCTACACTGCCTCCCGAGACACGGCCTGTTATCCTCACCATCTGAGCGATCCTGGTCACAAAAGCGACATTAACAAAATACCAATATGATTTTCTTTTATTATTTCTACCTTCCTACTACATTCGTTGTGATAACAATTTTTATTGAGACAATTTCAGGACCTTACGATGCTTCTCGTCTCACGGAAGAGTGCCCTTATCATGAAATTTTAATACTCTAGCTAATTGAAAAATACTGATCGGTTGACATGATCCATAAGTAGTCACCCTTTTTCCTTAATTGACATAATAAAATGGGATGAAATAAACCATTTTAAACAATATTTTTTAGCTACAAAAATAAGCAATTTATCCTGAATGGATAGAGCACTTGGATTACTGCATTTCATTGCTATATTTTATTATATATAATTCATAATTATATAAATAAAAATTATAAATACATCAAGCGCATTTGTATTAAGCAGTCTAGTCGGTTCTCCATCGAGACATCAGGGTTCTAGATAGCACGTTCTTCTTTTCTAATTAAGCTCTGGCTGCTACTCATTGAGATACGAAAAGATTGCCATTTCCAGTTAAAGCAATTTAGCATAACTTGTACTTACGATTTCCCTACAAGTGTACAGCACATGCCTGGAAAACTTTGAAAACCGTAAAACATTTGTCTTGACTGTATTTTACAGGTAAACTGTACATTTCACGAGGCTCTTTCGTTTGGGTCAGATATGGAACGAATTGAAAGTATTTTGGAGGATGTCGTTCGCGGGGAGGCTGTTAATGATGATGGAGCTGGATGTGTTGACTATAGTATCCAGGATCAATTGGCAGAACTTGGTAAGTCTTGTCAATGTATCGAATTTTCAGTAACTGGAATACGGCGTTAGCTGTTCGTTTAGTGTTCGTGACGTCTATGGAAATAACGGGATCCTTAACATGAGATAATCGTATAAACATTACAGCATAAATCAATTCTGGATGACCCAATTGCAATGCTCGTGTCAAATATACGCTTGTCCCTGAAGTATCGTTCTAGGCGGGTTCGCGGGAACGACAGCGCGAATTGATCACGACATATCAGTGTAATCTCTCCTGGTCTTAGGCCATATTGTCGTTTTGGCTATAAAAAGCTTTAGTATCTAACAGCAACAAGAACTAAGTCGAGCGGTCCATGTAGACTCGGGCTTGGACGTAAGCCATGCGCTATCGACGCACTGAAGCATTCAGCTGACTGGGCGCGAACGAATCAAGGAGCTAACGATGACTTCCCACTTCTCTGTCTGGTGCTGTTTTTGTCAACGGCGTCGCCTAGCCGCCGTCCGAAAACGCCTTGTTCCACAGCAACGTGAGCACCATCAATATGAATATCGCTATTACCATACCAAGCTTGGCTCTCATAGCCACCAATTACTCAACCCAAACGAGAAGCTATCTACAGCAGAGGACGGGTAACAGAGTCCTTTCGTAATCTATGTGTTTTGCGAAACTTTGTTGGCCTGGCTGTTCATTCATGGCGTTATTTACTGTACTCGCTACAAGCATTTTGCGACCATGTCTTCGACAATTGTTATCACCAGCAATACGAGCAGTCATCTATTATGAAGGCAGCAGACGCTATTGAATGGTACGACTCGCAGTTATAATCACGGCGAAGCTCGTCATACCAACACGCTACCTGGTTATCGTTGTTGTTTCTTCTTCTTTGCACTGTCACATAAGAGCCCCGTCTGCAACGGAGTCAGCCGATATCATCAGTCGTTCATGCACCATTTCAGGCGTTTCATGCACCTTAACTTTGCTTTTCGTCTTTTTTTCACTAGGATCGAACATGTACTAATACGCCTTATATGGGCATATATTTATGTGGGCGTACGAAATTATTACAATGATTGTCGTGTATGGACTTGCCGGCCATGATAGTTCCATACTGATTAAGAATGTCCGGCAGACAGACAGACGATTGCTATCCAACAGTGGCATGATCGACGTTCAAGATGAGATGGCTGATTTTTTGAGAAATTTAAGAGAGAGATTGAAATACCTAACTATTGTAAAATTGAGACAAAGTGTAACACCCATAAATATTTTATATAGATATTGCGGGTAGAACCGCTTATCCCATGCACTATAAATTTTACTTCTTTTGAATAAAGCTTTCTACGGTCAGTCGTTTTCCATTCAGCAGTGAATCGATAACTGTAGGGACACCTGATAAGTGTATTTAATGAAAAATAGAAAACAAAAGTTACGGTAGAATTTTCTTTGAGTAGTAGCCACGTGCGGAAATAGCAAGTGGGATTCCTATGTCGCGATCAGTGTAAAACGGGTGCAGATATGTGACGGATGTGTGAGGACCATACACGGTTTTACAGTCTTTACGTTAAACCAAAATGCTCCAAACCCCGCTTCTCGCCACGGAAGGACTTCGTAGTTACATTTGTGTGGACTCCTTTAGCCGGTGGATGCAGATTCGTGCGAAAGTCTATGTATAGGAATAACTAAACTAACTCTAAATGACACATACAGAGACAGCGTCATTTTTATGCAAGAACAGAATGTATTTGAGGTTCCACTTTTAGGAAACAACTCCCGATCTCGTGTACGAGTATATAGTTAGACGGTTTCTGATACGTGGGATTTTTCCATTCACATTTTCCTATTACTTCTTTAGGGCATAGTATCCACTGCATTGTAGTGTTCGTGAACGTAATGACGCGTTCAACCGTTTTTTTTTTTGTTTTAGTGCTCTCTTAAACTGTTGATAGACCCCAATCATATACTTGTATGCTAGAAACTATATATTTCGAAAGAAGTGGAGCCAATATATAACAAGCTTACTTGAAGCTATATTTGTATGTATTTCAACCAAATATTTGTTGTGATTAGTCAACTCGAGTCTTTTGCGGTTTATTATCGCCAAGTCCATCGTCATTGTCGATCACCATCGCATGGGAAAATACTATCCGATACGTGCATCATAATTTAAGAAATGCATTGTAGTGTTTGCTGTGCCTACTGAGCTTAGTCAGGTCAAGAGCACTTTTATTTCGAAATATGCCATACCATTACAGACATCGAAGCGGTGATTTCTGAAGCTCTACAGCTAAAAAATAGCCGTCTATTCTACTGCGTTGACGAGCGAAGATAAACCTTTGTCCTTTTCGGAATTCAGCAGAATAACATTTACGAGCTGATCTAGTGCCAGCTCGACGAGCCGTTTAATGTCCTTAATGATTCTACTCTTCTTCGTGTTTGCTATTTTGTATCTACAACATCGGCAGCTACGAAAGGAGTCGAGTCTCAGTGTACAGCCGACTTTCGTCCCGTTTTGATGAAAAATGTGACGTACATCGCTGGTGCGGTCGTCTTCAATGACAAAGGCGAAGTGCTTCTAATGCAAGAAGCAAAGGTGTCCTGTGCGGGCACTTGGTATCTTCCTGCAGGGAGGGTCGAACCTGGTGAACAGATCATTGTAAGTGACCATTGTGCTTTTCTGAGCATTTTGCAATTGCAAAGTATTTTAAAACTGATATTTTTGGAATACGAGCTTTCCTTCAAATTTTGACCATATGCTTTCCACGTGTAGATCTAAGCTTGAGTAATTGTGGTACTTTTTTATGACTGGGCGGTTGTTGAACAATTTCGAATAACTCAGCATATTTTCTTACAACTTATTTAATAGGCATATGTAAGCTGAGCTATCGAAAATGCAAGAGGGATCTCTTTACCTCTGACTCTAAACAGTTGTCCTCTCTATGACAAGCTTCCTGTCTGAAAAATATAACGTTAAATATATAGTATAGTACCAGGATAGTACCAGAATTCGATACAAACAACGTGAAGGACCCGAGAAGGAACAAGCGTTAGAACATATATCATTTTACCATTACTCAAATTCTTCGTCGGTAGTCAAAGTGTGTCCGTCCGTAACTAGTTTCGAACCCAAATAAGCTCACAGCCCCAACACTGATAATAATAATAATAATGATATTGGTTATCATGTCGGCATTAAAATAGAATAGGCTTCGTAAGCGGTGTCGAAGCAGTTGGATGAATTAGTCAAACGAATGGCAACTGGATATGGCAAATGGATATCTACGGGGATTTTTCTTATTTTCGCATATTAAATGTTGCCTTAGCTAACTCGAATCACGAACGTTGCTGAAAAGTAGGCTGAAGGTGGACTCTAACTGGGAAGAAGTGACCAATCAGCATTCTTACTATATATACATATATTTGCTCGTCTAGTCTAACATACATTTTTAATAACGACAGTGAAAACAATCATAACTAATAATAATAGACATTATTTGTTTGGTAAGCTACTACTATATTTTTCCAAGAATATCATCACAATTTTTTTCTATTTAAAAGAATACGTGTTCTTTAGCACATATCTACATTTTTTTTAAACCATTAGGAGGCTGTTCGACGCGAAGTTTTCGAAGAGACCGGACTAGATTTTCACCCACAGTCGTTACTCTGTGTAGAAACTGCAAAAGGTTCCTGGTACCGCTTTATTTTCACTGGCGAAATTATAGGTGGCAAACTTAAGACGGTCGCAGAGGCAGACGCCGAATCGCTTCAGGTTTGTCTCTCTAAGATAGGTATAAATCCAACTAATATTTATGTCGATAGAATAATTTGTCGCGTTCCACACCAAATATAATGGCTCCAATGTCTCATCATAACATATTCATGGAAAAACAGATGATGCCACTGATGCGAGGCCACAAATTATCTCCACAGGTGAAGCCAACTTTAAAGCTCCGTTACCATTACGGTTATGGCTTCCTTCTTGTTTACACACTACTAGAGGGAGAATCCAATCGTCAGGGATGCTTATCAAGGGAATAATTAATACTTTAATTTTAATAAAAACTGTAACTCACATTTAGTCAGGGCTCGGGATAATCAAATCACCAATGACTTGAGGGCCATGTAAAAGGCGTTTAAAAAGGTTCAAGGAAAAACTTTTCGCGTTGCAGGCGGCCTGGGTTTCCAATATTTCATCCCTGAGTCTACGAGGCAAAGACATCATCAACGTCATTGACAGAGCAAGGTGAGTTACCATTGCCATTTGGTAGTTCAGGTCCTTTGTTAAATGACGTACGTTTTTGTGCGATTTACAATCAATTTCATTCAGTTATCGAAGATTATCTTGAAAAAAATGTTTTCATTCTTAAAACCATTTTGACTGTTAAACTAGGTAACTTTCAGACTGCGTGCCGTTGGTAAACATTAATCATGTTATAACTGGTTTCAATATTACAGAAACTTGTGAGTGAAATCCAACTGAGTTTGCTCCAAAGAGATAAGTTCAGTGAGAAAAATGTCCTTTAGTTTCGAAAATCAATGCTTAGCGCTCATGTTTTTGTCGACGGCCACATCGGTGCGAAAATACATCGAGGATTAGTGAAGACGTTAGACAAGCAGGCCCCACGCGGAAGCATAAATAGTGCAAATGTTTCAGAAACGGTGATTGGTGCGTTGAAAATCAGCATAGAGACAACCAGGTGTCAGAACCCGACAAAAAAGCGCATAGCCACAATCAAAAAGCATTTCACGAAAGCAGTGCTCTCAATGTATTATTGAGCTAAAATAGCATTTTACATATAATGTGTTACAGAGTTATACCATAAATACAGAAAACGCAGGAACTGAATGAAGAATGGGTTTCTGGGGATTTAACTGTAGCTCAGCTGGAAATGCGTATGGTGGTGTATCCCACGTGCAATTTTAATCAGCAAAAAAAAAACAGCTTGAAGCATACGGTTGCCATCGACGAGGTCTGATTCAATATTTACCACCAACCAGAAAGCGAACAAACGAAAAAATCGTGTCATCCTGGAAAGAGGTCGAGTCGAGTAGAGTCGAACATATTTGGTATATGGTATTTGCAATGGACACGAGGGGCATCTGCAACTATGAAGTATTCGCTGAAGATGAAACAATGAACGAAGCCCGGTATTTCGAGTTTTTCAAAAACAAATAATCGATAGCACGCGGTTTGTTTACTTCGCTATGCTTAAATTACGCGCTGGGTTAAGCAAAGAAACACCCAACGTTAGGTTCAATTAGCTTATTCTCTGACTTTAGCCCGTGTGACTACGGGGCTTTTCATACCATTAAAAGGCAACTGAAAAGCAGGCATAGCCTACTATTGATTTACGTCGAGAAGCCGTGAATTGACAAATTATATATAAGAACGCAAAGGGCTTTCTAGAATATGCAAGAATCGTGGGACCAATGTGCAAAAAAAAGTATAGATCTAAGGTGTATTGAGAAATTGTCATTATAGCCTAATTAGCTTGAAAGTTATTCAATTTTAAAGTCAGCCGGATTTGTTCGTAGCACCAAAATATATGGGAAAGTCGTTTTGTGGGCACGATTTTCAGGCAATATTTTTCCGATTTACGCCGAGTGAATTTCTCCTTACCAGCAGTAAAAAGCCACTGCAAACTCTATCTTCGGATCGTCTGTATTATCAAGAAAAAGCTCAAGTAAGTACATAACCGTTGCTGGCAGTTACTTATTGTGCCTATTTAATGTAAAATTATTTCACGCACCAGGTCTACTAAGGTCACAAACCATCTGAAAGACGTTTGAAGAATGAACCCTTATAGAGTTTATTTATACCAAAGTTGTTCGGAGAAAAAATAAGAGCTGTGCTTAAGCTAGATTTTTGCGTTCTTGCTGTATTTTAAGTATCTGAATCCGAAATAGCGTAAGAAGTACTTGTACCTTTCGAAACTATCATACTTACTTTTCCCTGCAATTTGTTCCGGTATTTTTGAATGCAGCAACCGGGTGCACGTGCTTGTTTCAGAGAAAGGCTATCCTCACGTGCCCCTAACAGAGATCAACCCCATGCGTAGTGTTCATACTGCCCTCAAAAGATTCATGAATCATGTTTTCATCAATGATCCTCCGCCTCACAAACCCCATGGAGTTTTATCGGTAATTATTAAACTAATCGGTCAAGTTACGAGTTTTAATTCGCTTAAATATTATTTTAATATACTAATGCTTGTAGAAAAAAAAAAGCAAAATAAGCAGGAATCAAAAAAATTCACGTAACGACAAGCACGTGGTATAACGTGTGAATACAGGACCCTTCGAAGGTTTATTAAATGAATAAATAACTTCCATAGTGAAGTAAAACTGTAAAACTAATCCCTAAAATAAAAGCACTTTGTAACGCCAATTTTCTATCCAATAATTTTAAACGAATTCGTATCTTCGTATGTATACATTTGTGTGTCGACCAGCTATAAACACACTTTATGCAAAAAAGTATGACCCATATTAACTTTCTGATAGACTCTAATATAAGCCTACCGGAGAAGGATGACCTCTTTGGGTTTGTCTCTTAACGATAAAGAATACCTAAATCTGAAAAGTATTCTACGATTCTTTGCAATTGGTAGAGAGTTCAAATAAAAAAATACACGTTTTCTATTTTTTAGCGTGAAGTAAAACACTTTTTTCTTCACTATACGGTTAAAAATTATTGTTAACATATTGAGAAGAAACACCAAAGTTCCGACATTGTTCGTTTGCTTGTTTTTTTAAACGGTGTAATATTTATACAGAATTTTAAAAGCTGAGGTTAGTTTCACATTGAAATCGCTAAATAACGACAAGGAATACCAAGTCAACGGTATAGAATGACATCTCTTGCGCAATGAGGGCAAGCAATCATTGGCACAGACGGATATGACCCCTGGGTCAAGGTAACAGGATAATTAGAATGCGCTATAGGAATAGTTAATACTTGAACAGTCGAAGCATCATAGAAATATTGTTGGAATGATTTGCCCAATTTGCTAAAAATCAAGTGAAGTGAAATAACATAGGAAAAAAATGATGATAATTTGGGTAATGTAGTCGGATTGCAAAAGCGGGCTACTCACAATTCTCAATGAGAAAACAACAACGAAACGGCGAGGAGAAGAATAACAGAGCTGGTCCAACAGGGCAAGTGCTACGAGTTTAGAGTTTAGGTTCACTTTTAGGTTAGAATTGGAAAGGTGCATATGTGTAACACCGATAATGTGTGTCAGAAATAATATGCATGAGCATGAATGCCTATAGGTAGAAAACAGGCGGAGGTTGTGTACTATTGCTTGTTCAAATATACAGATTATTTTAATTAAATTCTCTGATATAAAACGTTTCAACTGATTAACGTTATAGGTGGAACATGATGGTACACCGATCCATGCTAATGACGGACTATGTCTGAGCGTGCTAGTTTCGTGCAAAAACTGTCTCGAAGAGGTAATTCAATAATTGATATTTGATTAGTATTAAATAAAAGCATATAAATATCAGTCAAATATACATTATGTGCTTATTTGAAGCACTTTCGCGACAAACATGTATTTGCATCGAAGCCCTTTTGTCTACTACGTAAAATTTGAAAGTCTTCATTTGGAGCATAAACGCAGTGTTGGAAAATAGCATTTGTAACATAACAATATAAAAATATTAATGTTGATTGACATGCTATTCTTGAACAATCGTATTAAGAACTGACTCCTCCCACTGTTAATGCTGTGACTTGCGAATAATCTTGAACCGTCTGAGTGATACGTTAGACTTATTCTAGCATTATAACGAATTCGTTTTTTATTTTTTGCAAAAGACTCGTATATACTAAAGATTGTTTAAAAAGGCTAAGAAATAAAGATGCTTTTTCTGGCCTCTTTCAGGTGTCTTTGTGTCCAAGCTACACATGGCTTGAAATCAGTACACAATTAGCTGATCAGCTTCAGGCGAAAATTAAACCTCATACTCTTACTGCTCTGACGGTCTAATTGAAACACTCAGACGAGTGATAACACACTGAGTGATAGCTATATAAAAGCACACAAGTCCATACGGCTTGCTGGCCTCTCTACTACATAGAGAGCCACAAGATGATGCTGAACTGCTAGGTCTTCCATTTTTAGCAGAAAATTCTCGTTGTAGTCAAATACTGACCTTGCGAATGGATGCCGTATATTAGGGTTCGAGTGTCTTTGAACCAGGGTCTGATACTCTTTTCAAGGTAAGACACTTCACTCATTTGTTTGTATCGCAACTACGAAAACAAAAACCTGTCCCGGCAACAAAATTGCCCCAAGGAGCACCACGAACAACGTGCTCACGTTAGTTGAAACGTCTAACATCATTCAACATTAACTTTAATGTATGTTTTATTGATGAATTACTAAATTTCTTTTAATATCTCTGGTCGCAAGCGTTTTGATACCAACCAACTATACAAAGATTCCATAGTGCCAGGAAAATCTTTTACTAGATATATGTGGGTAATTTTGTTTTAACAAATTAGCATCTAAACACCGAAATCGTTAGAAATCACTGGCAAACCACTCACAAAGTAATATCCATCGATTATCATAACCTGACATTGTACACAATACGATAAGGTATGGGGTTAGATAATAACACATTTTTCGTTAAATGTATAGCCTACTGTCCCGTAATTTGTTAAAAATTAAGTGCTATTTTATATACATATAATATATATGTATAAAATAGCACTATATATATATATATATATATATATATATATATATATAAGCAAACGATACAATAATTTCTCTTAGCTAGTTGTATTATCACACGCGAGTTAGCAAATACACAAATGCATTTAATTTTATAAATATGGGTTCGTAGTAGTGTCGTTCAATCAGCGATCTATGACAGTATCCTAAATTCTTAATTTAACATTGTAAATAAATAATTGTAAATAAATTATTCTAAGATTTTGACAGTATGCAAAAAATCTCGTATTTATTATCACATTTTCGAAAACGGAAAACTTCCAACTCGTTTTTTAAGCAGTCTTCAAGTAAAACATACTTCTCTAATGCATCATCTTCTGTCCCTATTTCTATTCAAATTTGGCTCGTCAATTTGGCCAAAATGCTGGCCGCGAATTGGTTTGGGCGCAAAATACATGCAAGCTCCAGTACGATCGTTCGATAGAAACGAATCAACAAAGTCTTTTCGAGACTTATCGGCATACTTCGGTTTTTATAACAGTCTTTTTCTGGGAGCCAATGATAAACATATATTTCAAATATAACAGTGAAGGCTAAGAAATAGGCGTCTATCTACTTTCACGCATTCTGTAACAATGTTGCAAAATAATTATTTGTGTTCACAGATTCTAAGCTAAACTTTAGTAGATATTAGCAGAGTTCCTACGGCAAATGGCCTCAGAAAAAGTAAGACATAATGGCAAGTGCAATAATTCGGTAGATTATTACGCAAGAAGGCAAGCGCTGTCATATATAGAACAGTGGTCGATTTACTATACTACACTAAATTGGTGGAAAAACAGTGTAGTAAGATAATTAGTCATATTAATCAAAAATGTCGAATAAATAATTTTGATCCGTAGACTGTTTTATTTCTCAGTACAATACTATCTTTAGTCGCACTTTCTGTCAATATGAATGAGAAACTCTCCATGTATATATACTACAAAAATAATATGAACTACTTGATACCATTTTAGCAGCTAAAACGAACAACCCATAAGAGCCAATGTTTGTATTAAGCCACACCACCATCTTTATTTATTTTTTTTTTTTATAGAAGTCAGGATGTCCCCTAGTATTCGCTGACTCTACGATTATTAATTTCCAATGCTAAAGTAAATTACAGTTTTCGTCAATTGTTCTCTACACGACGGGACAATGACGGTCTCTTGCGTGCTTGTGACGCATATTTGTTGTTTTCAGAAAATAAATCTTTGCCTTTTGGACGAAGTTTGTTGGCAATAATCTGCTGCTTGGTTTCAGCAATTTTTTGTATACGCTCTGCTTCGGCTGTCTTAGCTGTATCCACCTCGTGAATCATCCTCTGAATAGCTTGGTTGTATTCCACTTGCTGAAGGTAGCGTTTACGTTGACCGGAGCCTAATGGCGCTGGTCTGCCATCGAGATAGGACCAATCGGGTGCATCAGCAAATTCCCTATAAAAACGGATTGTAATGCAAGAAAAGTAGAGTAGCACAGTTGAAATTTTCGCGCCTTAAATCAATCAGATTTTCATATCGTACCATGGTTCGATTAATGTAATGCTGGTAAAGATTGGTAATCATTAAGGCATGATAACTTACTAAACCGCAGTTGGCACGCGGGTAACTGTGGAAAGTACTGCTAGTTAAAAAAAAACAAAGCAACGTCGAATGCGATATATCTGAATTCGTTTCATATGATTATAATATTAAAGTAATAAACTTTCTAGTGAGACCAAAAGCGGCATTTAAATACTAAGGAGAAACAAGTTGTTGAAATGTTCATTCCCCAAACAGCTAACTAACCTCATCATTTCGATTGCCGACTCTTTCCCGCTTTCTTTTTTTCTTATTTTCTAGGTCACGAAATACTCACTACGAGTAGACGTTGTCTTCATAATTAACTCCCAATACTTTGCCAATCGAAATTTTTCCTGTTATTTAAACAGTTGATAGTTCGCACGTAAGTATGTAACTCTGTAAATCACTTTTAGTCCACGTCAACTTTGTTCAGACGTACGCAACTAAGTCGACTAACTTTTAGTTACCTGGTCATATTGACGTGCCTCGGCTGACCCTTGCTTTCACGGAATCGTGCTCCCGCAAACACAGCCGACGTTGTGTGTATACTTCGGGCAGTAATGAGGCCAAGCTCGCAAGTTGGCACAGCAAAACGTTGAATTAAACTATGCATCGCTATAATTAAATAAATGAAAATGTAGACCTAATCTATAGGGAACACTGTCGCGCACGGTTCTACATTGATTGGCTCTCAGCGCATACGGCTTAAGCGAATATGTCCACATAAGTTGTCTGCTCTAAGCACTGTTTACTAACATGTTACAAGTCACGAGTATAAATTATGAACGCAGTTCTTATACGAGATACTCTATTTTGAGTCAATTACAGAATCGCAGTTTGTCTTGAAAGAAAGGAGTATGCGAATCTTTTAAATAGATGTCTGGATCCGCATGATGCTGGAACTTAAAGCAAGGTGAAGTTTTCACCGGTCAGCTTTCGCAGACTGTCACAGATGGCGCTACAAGCGTTGTAGTTTTACGTGATTTGAATCATCAATTTTACGGGAATTGAACCAGCAACAGTTTCTGCGCTGGCAATTAGATCGCTGAAGACTGCCCGAGTAGTTAAAACGACCCCGACTTCTTCTCTTCCTAACGAAAACTGCACGAAACGGGAGTCGGTCACCGGCAGTGCCTATCGACTCATTCATTCGACAGATAACTACGTGACAGAACAGACGGACGGCAGCTTCAAGGTATGAACGACACGAGACACGTCAAAAAGAAATCAATCTAGAAATTGTTGCAGGGTCGATCTTCGTCATTGTAGTGTGATACGCTAGCTGCAAATAATCGTATAGTTGAGTATTACGGACAAGCAAACTTAATACTGATGTAATTCATGTGCAGTGTAAACAGATTTATTAGGTAGTTTATTTCCACTAATGTCTTAAAAATTACTTAGCGGTAAGAACAGGTACTACATTTAAAACGAAATACTTATGCTTTCAAATGCAAAATATCGATTCGGCAAGCTACAGCAGAAACATTATATAATCCTCGATAAATATTAAATAAAAAACATAATAGCAATGAACAAAAATGCAGGTCATCGTCCCTGCCATAGTCGATGGCTTTCAAACCGGTATTTAATGGCCGAAATACTTGATCAGTAAACATTATTGAGCACAGAGAAAGAAGCATGGTATATGAATTCTTTTCGATAAAATGATCACGTAGAAATTAGTTAGGTTTGTATTATGTGGGTCCACACTTGGTGGTGGTTTTTTTTAAGTATCATACAGCACAGTTTAATGAAGTATATTTTTCTCCATGAGTTCACATATGCTGCAAATAGCCCAGTTTCGCACATTTAGGCAATAAGGGCCCTTAAATATTATACTCGATTCGGTAAAAGCTGCGTCTTTATATCGTATGTTTACACTGGCAAGTTGATAGCATGCGCGACAACAATGCCGATCCCTCAAGGCGAATCCACCGCAAAGCGGACTGAATACGACCAATCGGTCGTGCCTTTCAGTTGAACAAACCACTTGTTAAGCAGGCGAAGTACCGCTCTTGCGAGACTGCGGCAATTCAGTGCCATGGGAGGCATCACAGGCTGTTTCGGGGCTGACCATCTGAGTGCAGTTCACCGTGATAACGTCAGCGACAGAGAGTAGACTAGAAGTCATCATAAAACAACCGCTAATTTCTAGCTGTAGACGTTTTCACTAGATGCATCAATATCAAGCATGCTTTGTGGACTATAACGTTCTGGGATTTTTTAACTTTAATGAAACCTAAGGAAAAGAAAATTTATTAGCAGCTTGCGCGTTTTATGTACTACCATTCGTAAATGGCAAACGTACTGAAATGATGTGCTAGCATCTTAATTGGTTATTAGTCAGTTTTAATTATTGTTGGGGTACGCAGCTTATGGCACAAAGCTCATATGCAGGTGAGGTCTAACAACAGATTGGATTCATGAAAGATGATGTATGTGCAGGTGAAGGTTAGGAACAACAATGTGTCACATATCGTTAAGGATATTTTCTTCGCTGCGAGGCGTAGCCAGCAAAACCACACCATGCGCGTGTATTGTAGTGACAATGCACCAGAACCAGTACCATTTTCAATTACTTTCTGCTGAAATAACAATGCTGAGCGAAAGCTCGGATTGTGTGGATTATTGTGACAGGTGGTAATACCTGGTATGTGTCCCAGCATGCGGCCTAGAGCCGTCCGCGTTCTGAAGCAGCTCTTGTCAATTTTTCAGGCGCGGGATAATTTCCAATAAACAATCGTCCAAGATGCATCGTAGCAAGCTGATGAGATTATTCTCAGCATTCTCAAGCCATCGTTGACGCCTGCTCAGTATCCTCTAATTGAAGCTTTGACCTGTTAGCTGACGCACACGCCCACACACCTCTACAACCGTCGAGTTAAACAAAAAAACGTAGTTTCGGTAACGATTCTCACAACACGAGAAACGAGCCAGTTAGTCTCCAACTTGGCTGATTACATTGTCTATCCTTGAATGAACTAGCCTCTCGTCTTCGACGACATATCACCAAGCCAGTAATGATGATGACGCACTAGTACTTAACGGCATAAACGCTATATATTCGAGCAACGTTTAGTCCTTACATAACGATCATTGGTACGTAACGCCTGTAACACTCGTATATAAATCTGTTAGCTAATTTTGATCAAACGCGATAAAATGCCAACCCCGCGGTAATGATGACAGCTCAGGTAAAATCACTTGAGTCTTTACTGCTACGATCGTATGCGAAATTAATGTCAAATGTTGAAGCCGAATAAATTGCTAGTCACTTAGGTAATGCGTCGATCCGACGAATTAATCGGCGAGCGGTTACATTGTATATTAAAACAGTACCTTAGGACAACTGTAGTGCTCATGATCAGCAACCGCTTGGCAACCAAACCACCAGGTCATAACGGTAACGATCTGCGCTCATAGGAGGCTTGGCAAATTGAGACATCAAATTAACCCAGTATAATTGTTTGTGCTTACAGAGAAATGGCAGCGTTTCATCCATCACCCACTCTACGCGGCCTGCGACATGCGATCAGCATGCAGGCTCGTTTCTGTTCATCTAATGCCCCAACCACCAAAATGTTTATTCACGGCAAATTCGTCGATTCAAAAACGAAGGAATGGGTAGATCTTAAGAATCCTGCTACTAACGAGATTGTTACGCGGGTACCTTGCTCCACCCAGGATGAGATGAACGCTGCGGTTGATAGTTGTAGGAACGCCTTCCAGACCTGGAAAAACACATCCCTCTTAACTAGACAGCAGTATATGTTTCGCCTTCAGAATCTGATTAAGGCTAACACAAAAAGGTTAGCTGAGAGCATCACAACAGAACAGGGTAAAACTTTAACTGATGCAGAAGGTGACGTTTTTCGAGGACAACAAGTTGTGGAACACGCGTGCAGCGCCAGTTCCCTGCTGATGGGAGAAACAACAAATCAAGTCACAAAGGATATGGATATCCTCAGCTATCGACTGCCCCTTGGTGTAACAGCAGGTATTTGCCCTTTTAATTTCCCCGCCATGGTACCGCTTTGGATGTTTCCAATGGCGATTGTATCGGGCAACACAATGATCCTTAAACCGTCCGAAAAGGACCCTGGTGCTACGATGATTCTCATGGAGCTCCTTCAAGAAGCCGGAGTTCCTGATGGCGTCGTCAATGTTATCCACGGAACTCGGGACTCGGTCCGTTTCATTTGCCAAAACCCTTACATCAAAGCGATCTCATTTGTAGGTGCAGATACGGCCGGAAAGTACATTTACGAGGAGGGTGCAAAGAACGGAAAACGTATGCAGTGCAATATGGGAGCGAAGAACCACGGAGTAATTATGCCTGACGCAAATAAGGAACATACTCTCAATCAGCTGGTCGGCGCTGCGTTTGGAGCTGCCGGACAGCGTTGTATGGCGTTGTCAACGGCGATCTTCGTGGGCGAAGCTCGTGAATGGGTTCCGGACTTAATTGAGCGTGCTAAAAAATTGAAAGTCAATGCAGGTCATGTGCCGGGAGCCGACTTTGGTCCCGTGATCAGCGTGGAGAGCAAAAACCGCATCCATGAGCTGATCGAGTCAGGCGTCAAGGAGGGCTGTAAGCTTCTTCTAGACGGACGTGACATTGTGGTAAAAGGCTTTGAGAAGGGAAACTTCATAGGACCCACACTTCTTCATGGCTTCACGCCGTCAATGCGCTGTTATCGCGAGGAAATTTTCGGTCCGGTTCTTATTTCCACTGAGGTTGACACACTCGACCAGGCCATCGAGATCATCAACAACAACCTGTACGGCAATGGGACGGCTATCTTTACAACAAACGGTGCTACGGCGCGTAAGTTTACCTTTGAAGCTGACTGTGGTCAAGTTGGAATTAACGTGCCAATTCCAGTGCCCTTGCCGATGTTTTCGTTTACCGGTTCTCGTGGCTCATTTCTTGGTGATGCCAATTTCTATGGCAAGGCTGGTCTCAATTTCTACACGCAATGGAAGACCGTCACTCAGTTGTGGAGGACCCAGGACTCATCATCAACAAAGGCTGCCGTAGCCATGCCTATTATGCGTTAATGGTGCAAATATCGTAAGATTTTTGCCGATCTGTTGAATGATGGTGATGGTGTGTTTTTGTTAACGATGTACAATGCAGAATTCCGATAAGCTCAATGACGCTTTACCATGGCGACGAATGAGGCTCGGATAGGCCTTTCCTTTTTACAAGATGATGAAAAAAAGGATTATAAAATGTATGCGATGGTGCCAAACGGGATATATCTATCCACTGTCACATGACAAACTCCTATATGAATGCATATATTTTCTAATAAAAAGGGATAGTAGATAAATATATGGCTCAGGTTCTAAGCGATTAAAGTAACACTACAAAAATATCAAGCTTTCCCAATGTAATATAATCTTTATTTTCGTAAATTACGGCCAAAAATAAAGGTATTATGCGTCTAAAGAATTTACGTGATTCTTCTTTTTCAGTAGATCGTAACGTAATAACGGAGAGATCTCCGTGACTATCTTTGCCGTATGGTAAGCGTATCAAGAAAAGTCATCCTTACGCGGTTGTTATCTCTATTAGATGGAGGGCTGCAACACAGTCGGTAAGAAAACGCCGAGATCGACGGCTCCGATAACATCTCTTAACCTTACTCTAGTGTTACTGAGATGTCTTCCATTCCTAACCTAATATGTGCATTTGTACAGCTATCGTTTGACACTTGTTTTTGAGTCGTCAATCATGTCCTACTGTATAAAAGATATAGCCATGTCTTTACCGAATGGAGAGGAAAAGTTCAAAATTCACTATAGTTACATTGCGTCGATTACGATAATTGTCTATGGTTACCTTATAACGCAGTGTTAACTATACGATCTTATGTACACAATTCAGTAGATCCGCTGCTAAAAACCTTTTCGAGCAATTATCCCTATCAGTTAATCTTCCAGGATATACTATCTTCTTGTCTTAGTATATATATTCGTTTACATTCATCAGGTCCGCAATTATTCTTTAGCTTGACGCTTCAATTAACAGTCTTAGATACATCTGCAACATTACCCACGATTTAAACACTGTTTTATGGTTGCGCTTTGCGCTCGAGGCAGAATAGCTGATAAACGATAGTTAAACAGAACGAAAATTAGATAGTTATCAGGTTCAGATTAGGTGTACGGGATGCATCTTCGCTTCTTGAAGATCCTGCTTTATTCGTTTGCCGTGTGCTTGACGTAAGATCTGAAGGGTGTGTAACTTGAATCATGTTTTTTGCGGTATGTCTCTAGCGTCAAAGTAAATTTTAACGTTATAATTGATCCGCAGTAATTTTTTCAACTTACATAAAATAAATATTTGGTCGTAATTTGAACTCGATGACAATCGTCCCGGGCGTGTATTTTCGATAAGAATGTTCGACGATGAAAGATTGCCGTAATAATAATGATAACAAAAGCATTTGTTCCTTAATAACTATGAGGAGTCGTTATCTTCGCCATTCACAGTTCGCGTATACGAAATACGCTTTTTACCGCCCGCGTTACTCTGCGCTCGCTGGCTACTATCGGGTTCCTAGAACTTCCTTTTGATGTCTGCACTTATGTATCAATGTTGCTCTCCAGATAGAATTTGTCATCTTAATGGACGCTAAATGTACGAATGGTAGTACCAAATCGCGGTTGTTAGAAGAATGCCATTTTTCATAACCTCTGCTTTAAAAATGCATATAGCATTCTACAGGCAACGCCGTGGAGAGCAGAAGACATTTTTGCTAATGCGACTCAAAAACAAACGAGGTTGTGTACTTCGTCGATCCTTGTTATCTCATTACATGTTGTAGTGTCACGAGCTCCATGCGTGTAGCATTCCATTGGAATATTACAGAGATTTTAATTCCGGCTATCAAAGTAAGGATAAAGTTGTCAAAAAAGCGTTTTGAAGCTTACCTTTGAAAGATATGGGTGATGTTCCACATGCTAAAAATACACACGCTGCGCTAGAGGGGGCTTAGCCTGAACCTATGCCTTTTCCATCAAATTTCCGCATGTGTTTTTTCTCAGCCGACCCCTGGTTTGGAATGTTTTACAGAACTTTGTAACCATAGCAAAGGGTGCAGTAGGCGAATAGCGGCCATATAAAATTTACAAAACTTTTGGATACTCTATATCGACAAAAATATCCTGATTTTTCTCATTTTAAGGGAGGCTGTGTTTCCTAGTTTCAACAGACACCATGGAGATCGCTTCCTATCTAATACGTCATATTGTCTAAACGAAAGCGATGCGTTTGCAACGAGCGGTGTATTGTTAGGAAAGAACAAAATGCATTGAACATTTAGAAGTAGCCTGAGGACCAACCGCACGCCTTCTAAAAACCTCCTTGGCCTGATGGAACATTTAGAAAATCAAATAGTATCATAGATGCGGATGTGTGCTTATACAGCAAGTACAAGAACACGTTCCCTATTGTGCATGTTTAGAAATAATGGAGAAAAACCGAAGTAATCTCAATCTGTAAATAAATTATTTTGTTAAAGTAATATACATCTGTGCAAGGACCATCTGCCCTGTCGGATAAGGTCGATGCTATCCTTGGGACAAGTTACTACACGAGCTTACATAGTCACCATTTACGTAAATCCGGCGTACGTTGAAGACTCGTTTGGATGGCCCGGGAGGCTAACAACATGAATTCACAAGCACCCGTGAGTCATGAACAGCAGCTTTTGTAGAAGGTGCGAACGCAGGACTTATTCAACTTTTCAATACAATAACGATACCCTTCTTTAATACACTAATTGAATGCGGCTTTCTAGCTTGATCTAGCTGGGGTAAAATCAGTGAGCTTTGTGGGTAACGTATTTGTCTGCTAATCTTTTAGGGACACGTTGTGGTCTACGTTCGAACCCGGGCGTAGACAGATGTTGTTTCGTGCTGGGAGCCGTCTGTGTGATGTAGTGCTTGACGGCGATACCGGACGTAAAACTTGAAACATAAAGGGTAAAATCAACTGTTCTGAAGGGAGTCTTAAATTTACACACATATATAACAGCATATAGCAGTGTTAAGTGTGTATCCTTAGGCTTCCCTGTTGATTGAACAACTCTATGCATGATTTGATTGGTCGCCTCTCAGTTTATTGGTAATTGTAAAAACAATATTTCATACAGTAGATGCTATGAACAACGAAGGGTGGAAAGATCTGGAGGCAAAACAAGACGACCATTCTGTCCGCGGATGTCAGCACGCACTTTGTGAGGCAATGAATTTTCATTGTCTAAATGAGAGACGTATTAGTAGACACCATACTTCTTTTAATTAAAACCGTTTATTTGTGTTAGTGTAAATATTCACTGGTGAAGAGATACATTATTAGGATTTTCAGAGTTACCTTCTTACCTGGTCATCCTACCTAGTCATCTTGGCCTTTAACAATTCGGGGTCATCTTGCCAGGGGCTCCAGATATGAGCGAATGTTAGCTGCTTAGGTAAAAACATTTAATAACGTTCAAATATGTTATGTTCTTGTTTTGTTCATTCTATGATTTACTGTCTTTGCAGCTCATTGAAAAGTTTGATTTATCTAATTTGTCCTTAAGTTTTTAACTTAGTCCTTGATATCTTGTTCAAGTTATTTGATGCAAACTAAAAAACGCTTGCAAACGAAAAGCGTACATGATTCCCTTGTAAACAATATATATAGGAAGTATAGTAAGTTATCTCGCCACCACCCTATGGTACAAATATAAATAGCAGTTCCATTCCATCTGCAAATTTTGATAACTACCATCGATGCGGATTCGTTCGCGGCATCGGCGCCCCCTACAGACAGTTAACTTTGTTTTTGTTATGATACAGACCATTCCGCCATTTTGAAGGCTTAAGAATTGCCCTTTCAACCCAATGGCGGCATATTAACAGCGCACTCGATGAACAACTGCACTGTCGCATTGTTACTGTGTCTGCATCGTGTGCAAGAGGAGATTGTTCAGTGAATGCCGACCTATTTTATCTGTAAAAACCCATGCCGTCAATCACCAATCATCCATCAAGATAAAAGGCTCTAATCTTTTCCCAATTGTAAATCGTGAGTTTGAATCATCGAAGATGCCTCATGTGTCATTCTAATACGTAAGAAAAGAGATACCGTAGCGTAATAATCAAACCTCTATGCAATATTCATTACTAGCCATATTGTGGGCGGAGAACAGCGCATATTTAGAATCGCTTAAAAGCAATTCCGAGACATTGATTCCTGTTAATTTCGAAGCTTTCTATTAATATATTAGGTAAGTGTTATGGGCTAGTGTATTATAGACAATACTATGCCGTATTATCAACCAGAATAGCGAGCCTATAAGAGCTTGACTAAATTAAAACCTTTGACGTGGTAAGGCGAGCATGAAGATATAATGAGAATGACGACGATTTTGTTCGAGGACAAAATGGTGGCCATGGATATCATCGACGAATTTAAAGAGATGTCTTTAAGTATTTGTTAGCAATTTGAGTGTTAGGCTAATAATCTGCTTGAAATGTTTTGATTTTCAGTCAAAATTTGAAATAATTGTCTATGAACGTTAAGGGCATGTGTGCGTGTTAGACGTGTGAGAGTTGTTCTCTGATTGATTTGAGAATAAGAACGGTAATTGTGATGTTATGGAGGGATAACAAACACCAAAATGCTATAGCAAGTTACGGATTTTACCAACAGTATGTAGGCGATAAGCGACTGAATTTTTGTTTTCCAGATGACACGACGAGCCACTGCTATTGAGGCCGTCGAGAATCTCAACAAAAGGCTCGAACGGGCTGAACAACTATACCGACAGTTCAGAGCCTTCGCCAAACGGCACAGAATTCTTCTTCAGCGTTATCACAACATGAAGTCTAAGGTAATATGTTTATTCCTTTTATTGACACAGACATATTATCTCTGTATGTGTTCTGGCGCCATCAATGAGTAACTCGTACGGTGTCGCTCGTTATAGCATTTTGATTAAAAAAACTTATGGAAATTTCCCCTCAAGAACTTTCCCACTCTGAATATCTATTTGTTATTATGGCTTAGTAGGTTTCTTTCCAGAGGGCTAGATTTACTTGTGTTTTCATAGCGCGCTGCTTTTAGATGCGTTTCCGTCCTACGGCTTCTTTATTATGGCGCAAGAAGTTCTTCCTTTCCGACGTCATGTAGGCGAGATTGGAGATTGGACTGGAGAAAAATAATCTATAGATTTGGATTAAAGGCATAATTTAGAGGACATATGTTTGCGTTTGGTTTTAGTAACAAAGTAAATAACGTTAACCAATTATAGTTTGACTGTTTCAACTATACCTAAGTGTAATGGCTTCATATATCTAACAATCAACTTTGTATCACTGCAATCAAACAATTTGCAGATGGAACATTTTGAATCTTTTTCTTTTGAAAAACAGGAAGAATGTTACCAGCTTCAGGCGCAGGTAATTAAGCTGAGAACAGCTTTGGAGACAGAAATACAGGAACATAGGAAAACAAAGCTCTGTGTAGAAAGGTTGAATAAGCAGTTTCAATCTGTTAAAGAGGTTTTCTTGGCATTGGATGTTGAAGACGAACATAAATGGGATTTGATCAATACGATATGCTCAAATAGGCCACATCAGGCAAACATATCGTCCAAGGCCACGTTTGTAAGTTCAACTTTGTTAATATTTTGAGCGCATAACATTACACATGTTTTGAAACAGACATTGTGGTCTTTCTTAATGCTAAAAATAGGTTTGGTATGGTTTGAAGTATTATGGGGTTATTGTATTATCAAAAAAAATTATATTGTCATTAAAAAGGTGTTTGACTTCTTGCACTACTAGTTTCTCTTTGTATTATTTTAGCATAACTTATTATACTTGGCACCTTGCTTTCTTGACATCTGCGCTCTAGAGGTCTAATCAGACATGTTGTTTTATTGCCATAGCACGATTTGCTGGATACACCTATGCATGAGCTCGAGGAGAACTCAGCAGTGTCAATGGAAAGCTTAATCTCGATGATAGAATCTTCTTCAAAAAGCAGTTTTATCGCCCCAGAGGAGACAGTCAGGTCTGACCATGAAAACGAATATAACTGTGACCAGGAGTCTGTATATAGTAATGACACGACGGAGTCAGCAACATCGAGCGACGAAGTAGCTCCGTTTGGACAGAAGGCGCATGGACTGACTAGCTCCTACCAGGAAGGATTCTCTAATAATGAGGAAGAAACGCTTTTCCGAAAAATTAGGCGTAAGTATATTGTGATAAATATAGTAAGATTCGACTCTGCGTAACTCGGATAGGTATCTTCAATAAATTACAGAAAAGGCCTAACCGGTATAACGGTCAAAAAAACATAGAATTGTCCAGTTAAGAAGAACAGTAAGTGTACTCATCTGCGCCGACATGTACCGCAATATGCAGAAGTATCTACGTGCGAAACTGACTTATTTTTTGTATTATGCCGCGATACGCGTGCTTGTATTTGTCTCTTTAGAAAGGTCATCAAGCATAGATGCATCGCTGAAAGTCTCAGTCGATAGAAACACTCGCATCACGACTGCTGAAGCAAGAATTGGGACAAAGCCTGGCCTCGTAGTGTCTGTAGAAACGCCTACAGGTAGACGCAGCCAGAGTTTCGATACACGAATGGAAGGTGAAGCTAACAATCCCTGTGTTTTGGCGTTGCTTGCGGATAAGGCCGTCAGAACACCCACCGATTTACCAAACGCGCCTATGTATCGCAGCGACTCAGCTAGCAAGCTAACGAACAAGAAACACCAGCAAGTAGACTTCTTTCTCCAACAGAGAACAAAATAATGCATTAACGATTTTCTCTAGCTAGATGCTATAAATGTTGTATGTATCATTCGAACGTTTAGTACAAGTGGTGCAGGAAATAGTACCCCACGTTAAGTATTATGCCCCCATTAAGTGCTATGCGGAAAAGTTCAGCTTGATTGCTTCTTTGAGAAAAAGAGCTTCTGTTTTACGTGTACTTTTAGTTGACATAATAGCTACGCTAATTTTTCTTGCCATGTCTGTGGTTTGCCTTTCTAGATTTGTCAGGAAATATGTAGGGCCTCTTGTCAAATGTGCCAAATGTAAACGGGTAATGAAGTTCCATGACACACTGCAATGTACAGAATGCAGCTTACCTGTTCACCAGAAGTGTCAGGAAGACGCGCCCCTACCATGTATGCCGACCGCTACTATTGTAAGTTAGTTTAACTTGAGTTGCCGACAGCGTAGACGCTCACCAAATACTATTTCACTCAGACCTCTTTTGCGACTAGATATTTCTGAAAAGCACATTTTACTATACCAAATATATAAACAGCGTCGGGAACTTGACCAAGACAGGCTTTTACATTTGTCTTATAAAGCTGTGGCAATAACAGCCACGGGATTTTGTGTGTGAAGAAAGAAACTTACTTTTTCTAATAATTCCGATATTTTAGAAGTCGAACAAATCAATGAAAGAGCCGAATAAGCTATTGGAATACTGTCCAGTCTCAGGGCCACGAGTACCACCATTACTCATAAACTGTTTCCATGAGCTAGAAAAGGACCATCGCATCAGGGAGGTCGGCCTCTACCGCAATTCCGCCTTGCAGAGCGACGTGCAATCGCTCGTAAAGAAATTACTGAAATCTCCCCAGCATGACCTGTCACAGTATGACACACATGTGATTGCTGGTGTTGTGAAGAGTTTCTTGCTGAAGCTGCTAAGCGAACCGCTAGTGCCGACATCGATGTACAGCTCTTTCGCGAAAGCGACAGAACCAGAACGACATGGCCATTCCGATAAAGCCTTACGCTCGGAAGTGGAAGGTTTACCTCAGGCCAACCGGGACACCTTGGCATACGTCATGTTGCACATTCGCGTTGTAGAAGAAATTTCCGACAATAAAATGGATCGGGAGAATCTAACAAGGGTTAGTACAGTGCGTCATTAGGCCTTTTACAATACCATCCATGCGATTGGGATTTAGCGTATTTTCAAGAGACTGAACTAGTTGATTGCGTATGCAATTGTGCTAACTCTGACCCCATAGCATGCGATTAATACCATCTCCAAATCGAGTGAAGTTTTAGAAAAATGAGCATAAGAGCTTCTCAGAAGAACCTTAAAATTGGTACCTAATATTGCCATATTTGTACAACAGTTTGCACGGCCGTTTACACCCCGTGGATCTTCTCTTTTTTCAATGGATGATGTTAAATTATTAGCTTTTTACTTTGCTTTCATTTCACCGCGGCAAGCTGCCGTCGCCTGAACTCTGGTACAGTGTGTTAGCAGTCAATCCAGTGATTGTTGTACTACTACGTCTCTAAATTTTGCGCAACATTATTTACGAAGGTATTTGCCCCGACGATCGTGGGATATCCGTTAAACGCGCAGATAAACCCTGCACTAATGGACCAAAATGTCACCCAGAGAATCATGTCACGTCTTCTGAATATGGAACCGCCATTCTGGGACGCAATCATACAACGTGCAAATCGAATGATGTTGCGGGTGCCTTCAAAAGAGTGTGTGCCTAACCCTAAGAAATCAAATGTCTTTTCATCACCCAAAATTAGCTAAAATACTTCATTTTCGGCTGAGCGGCGATCCACGGCCCTTAAAACGAACATTATTACTTAGCTCAATATGTTAGGGCATTGAATAGGTTTATTTTAGTATAGCCATGTTGCTTGTGGTATAAATTTAGACCTCTTTATTTTGCAACGCGGAGTAGAAGACGCGCGTCAACGAGGCCTCGGCTCCTCGTTTGTATATAGAGGGCGGAGTGCTTAAAGAGAACACCTTCGAAGCCAGCCCGTTTGAAGACATTTTTTGGAGCAAAGCGTCCGTCTGAGCATTTTTTTCGAAACATATCGAGTCACAATAGCAGAAATTAGGCTAAGCATAGCGATTTTTGAATACAAAAGGCTGTGTTGCTTCTGTGCCATTGATTTATCATCGTTCATACGATACGCGAGTAGATAAGCTTAGAAAATAAAGAAATTGACGCTGATCGTAATTAAGAAAGCGGTAAAACCAGTGAATTTACAAAATCCAATTATTCTATTTAATGTAAAAAATCCATTTGCAGTGGATGATCGTAAAGTCGACAGCCATATGCATCCATGCAAATGTTTCATCTACGCTTGATACGGCAGGGACAACAGCGGAAAATACTAGCCATTCATACCACACAAAGAAGTATACTTTTGTGTTCATATATGACACCTTTGTATACAAACAAATAAAAACACACGGAAACAGAAAAACCTAACATATATGGATAATCTCGTATGTTTACCAACCGTTCTTACTTACCGAGTCCACTCAACTGATAGAAATGTTTAAGCTTGAACTCAAGCTAACACGCTTAAAGCAGTTATTATATAATAAATTGTATGTATATATCGATATAAAAAGATGTGTACACATCAATGCACAACATTGAACAGTGCTGTTTTTCGTTCACGCTTTTTAGCTTTGGTCATTTATAAAGCATATGCTAGTTTTATTAATAAAGTTCGTTAGTCGGCTGCCTAGAGACGCTACGAGACAGTTAGCAGGTCCGAATTAAAAAAGAAAAAGGCAGAACTGGCGAAGTTGTCCCTAGGCCAGCGATGAGATAATCACAGGCACAATTTGTCCTGTCGTATTGTCAAAACTGGAAACCTCAGCTAAAAACAAGATTCAGAGTAGAGTTGAATGTCGTCAGTATGAAAGATGACTACGAACGCTATTTTCATATCCACTTAACAACTGTGTTCGTTCTTTTCAAGCGGAAATATTGGTCCGGTAAAAAAAAATCGCTCAAACACATATCTAATAGATTGTGGTAACTCGTAGCATATGAGATATTCCTTTACGATATCAATCGAAATCCTTTGTATAGCAAGCCTCAGAAATAAATCTCAGGATTACTTAATATTTCGAGCATTGGAGAGGTTGGTTTATATCAACATTCCGTTACGCATTAACAGATACAACATCCATCTTAATTATAGTTTATTATCCAATACATAATAATTAATAAAATCAAAAAAAATAAAATGGCACTAGTTAATAACTCAACTATCTTGGTGTATGTCCAGCGTTTGGTCTCCGCTCACAGATGTCATGAACTGCTTTTCTATAGCTGATGTATTATCTATTATAGACAGTAACGACGCAGCTCTATGGCTGATGCTTTTAGGGTACTGGTTGGCTTTACGGGTGCATAGTTTCATTTAAATTAAATTACATGTTTTTCCGGGGTTCTCTGGGCGTCACTGGGCCTAGCTGCACATATCTCTCTTCCTTCCGCCTTGTGCACCCGTTCATCAATATTGAAACCCTCTGATAAATCTAGAAACAAAGGACTTGGCCAAATCTTTTTCTTCGCTCTTCTTTTTCCATTTAAGCCCGCCTGGCTTAATCTGCTGCTGATGCATCTGGAGAGATTATCGCTCCGTCGAATAACTTGTGATGACCACAAAAAGCTGTGAAGAAACGATAATTTCAAAATCATTTTGTTTCCATGTTAAAATTATCTGCACGTTTGATAGTACTACATTCGCATCTATCGATAGCGAATCTTCCTACGGTTAGCTTGAATTTTTGATAATTGAACCAGGGGCTTCTAAATATTTTAGGTCTAGGTGTGAAATTGTCAACACTAAGTTCAGCTTACACGCGCAAATACGAGTCTTAGTCGGCCTGTTGTAAAGAAAGCCATCAGAAACCTAAAGAGTAGTCGTTGAAAAGACGATTTCTTAAAGCAGGCGTTAACTGGATTGGTAATACGGAAAATCAAACTATTTTCCTTCGGATTCCACTTTACTTTAGGATGCTTACAAACAAATGAGTTTATTCAAAACTCTATACCATAACGTAACAATGATGATAGTAATACTAATAGTTATTATCACAAAACGTAGAAAAGAACAAGCGTCCTTCGTGCCCGACTGAGCTGATCATAGCAATCCAATACACTGATATAGCGGACAATTTTTTGACCAACATCGTTGAAGTTTCGTTCTGCCACTTTAACCTTCTGTCTGAAAGATGAACTCGAGCTTTACAGAAACAGTGCAATATTCGGTACGTCGCTTGCCGTATTAGTTCTAAGCGGCAGATGAGAACGGACGGTTGAGAAGGTCCGCGTTGCAAGCTTGTCTTTACCTCGAAATAAAGTTACGCCTATCATAAATTTCGCACGGGCATATAGAGTATCAAGCTCATTTCCACTGCGCAGAGTAACGAAGGTTATGTCGCATTCTAAAACGCTCGTATTACGAAAACGGGTCGTGCACGCGTGTTTTATTGGATCGCATCAAGATACTGTCTTCAAAGTGGAGTAACTTGCTTGGTATTGCGCGGAAGCACTGAACTGCCGACGGACTAACGAAACAATACGTCCGAAACGTTCGTCTAGCTAAGCAGTAGCATTAAATTTTATCTTGAAAGAGTAAGCTATCGCAAATGAGTGAGCTATCCGGGAGGAGCAGTCTTTTGCGGTCAAGTATTTTTTGCTTATATTCTCTTTCTGCTGGATTCAAGTAATTTTATAAAACAAGTTTATAGGACGGGGCAAAATAAACTCTTTCACAACGTTGCTGTCTTATAATTACATTAGTTTTTATATTAGGTAGACTTGGAGTTTTCACACACAAAACACTGAACCTGATTTTCAGCTAATCTCAATCCTGTGTTAATTGCATTCATGTTTAGAGGATCTAGTGGCACCTCGTAACCATTGGCGTGTAGATTTTAAAAGTACTGAATATTTGAATCACATATATTTCATTAATTCTCATTTATTAATGTTATATAATGCTATTAGAGAAAGTGAACGATTAAACGGTTGATCAGAAGTTCGTACGTGGGAACCTTTAACGGAGTTAGTGAGTACCTTACAAACACGCCATAGACGATAAGACGTAGCCTAATTTCGAAGCCAACAACGAAACCAAAACTGTAACATCTCGGTCAGTTTATCGGCCTTATCAATTAGGCCAGCTTCCACTGGGCCACTGAACTGCTTAGCGAATCGTTCCATACCTACATGGGTACAAAGAGACGAAAAAATCTCTTTCACGTGAAATTCAAGTTCAAATTGGACACTGAAACCAACGAATAAAAAGCTTTCCTATATATATTTTTTTCTTTTAGGACCATTGCAAATTCCCTACTAATATCCATATGAGAGAGGCGTATAGAGCAAAATAATTATTAAAATATAGCCATGTAGAAATGTATTATCACAAACTGAGTAGTCACCGGGTTTACGGATGTAATAGATTATTATAAGCGAGTCTGGCGGACTTTCAAATTAAATAACGTTTGAACTAGAGTAATGACCTCTATACGCGTTAGAGGTGCTGTCCCTCATTTTTTACACACTTGTTCCGGCGCTCTGGCAGCTACCGGACAGCTTTATATTTACCATTCGCGTTCCCAAATGTAATTTTCATATATATACATATATATATATATGGCCTGTCGAAGTAAATAGATGGTGTTATGTTTGCACACTAATTGCCCTTTTAGGGTATGGAGAGTCCCGCGGTCACAAGGACTGAGATCGAGAGAATAAACGGGTCGAATGTTGAATATTCCTTTGCCCAGTCCACGAAATAATTAAAAATATGGCGTTGAGATTGCCGTTGTGATCAAGTAACGAAAATGCGTGCCCTCAATTGCATACAAAACAGTCGATGAGTCTCTTGAAGAACTCGAAGCAGCGATTATATACCTTTTGGTGATTATCTCATAGTAGCACATGCTCCTTACGTGCACCGTAAGTATTACCATCATATTACATTCGAAGCCACACGAACTACCTCCAGATGGAGGTAGAGATTGAATCATGCCTCGCCTCTGGCGACTGCATGCTCCAGGTATGTTTTTTGTTAATTTAAGTTTCGCAAATTGCACGTGGAGTACACGACACTCGACTGACCTAAAATTCCCGGGGGACCCATTTATACTCAGCTTCCTCGTTTTCATATTTGGGTTGTAATTCTGGAACATGTGAAATTGGATCTCTATACTCTGAGCCCCGCTTCTGTGGAAAGCTTCCTCGACTGGGGCAATGCGTTCTTGGTCTTTCGTGTCCCGACACTGCTGGTCTTGAAGACTCCAATTCTCATTACTGAAACACACAAATTTCCGCTAAAATGCTATTTCAAGGTCAATTTCACTGTCTGTTGAATTCGCTTGTAACGATTCTATATATTAGGCCGAAATTTTATATGCGCTATAAATGCATCCTATAGATATATAAAGGCAGGCGTTTTGCGACTCCAAAATGACGCCAACAAGAAACAACTGAATGTGTCAAACGTTATCTTTTTAAATAAGGTATTATGAGGCTTTACACATTAGAATTTTACCTAAATGCAATGCCAATAAAGTAAGCTTCTTTGAATTTCTGTATTACAATAATTCGCTTTAACGATCTTTTCGCATCTGGCCCTCTTTCTGAAATGGCGGCACACTGATATTCTTCTCAAGTTTGCCAATCACCCGTTGATTGTCGTAGACTGAAACTTTCCGGCCTTGCTACGAAAGGGGTTTACATGAAAAAAAAAAAAAAAAAAAAAGCTTTACGGCGTGCGAGCGATAAGCATCATTGGCTCTATTTTCAACGGAACTCTATTCTCTGCGAGGAGATGGTCCCAGACTATCGTCGTTCAAAAAAGTCTGCAAGACATGTGAGTTTAACCGGATGGTCCGCCGCTCGACGTAACAAACAACATAATCGCGTTCTAAAAGGACCTCCAAGCAGGCTAAGGTCAAATGGCCCCCCACATCATGCTATGTAATTCCACTCGACTTCTTTTCGATAGCCTACTTAAAAAGCAAGGTGCGCTAATAATACTTAGAACGAACTAGAGAAAAATTCAGAGAAATAGATGTACGTGAAAAAGCAGTCAAAAACTAGGGAAACAAATTTTTGCTATGAATAAAAACAAAAGAGTCGAAAAAACATTTTATTTAGGTAAAATCTGAAATATATAATGTTTGTAATAAAGAAAGTTATAAATAGATTCAGTTATTTCTCGTTAGCGTCATTTGAAGTTGCTCTTAAGTAGGGGACCATCTCTGTATATATATATGTTAAAGAGGGATATAGAGAAAGAGAAAATTTAATTTGAGCATTCTAAAAAAATTATTATGTATCTATCTATTTACTAAAAACGGCCGTGGTACTGCAAGACATTTCGGACCTAACTAAAGACTTTAGCCGCTAGCCGGCAACCGTAATCATGTGATAGCTCCAGACTTTCACAGTTCTTAGTTTTTATTTTATAAAAACAGCTCATTGATTTTTGCATCTGGTACCATATAAATCACAAAAAAGAGGGGTAGAACTGTAAGAGCGTTTACGTTGGGAAACTGCAACTCCTGATGAAGCTTCCGAAAAGAAGGAAAAAGCTTCAGGTTCAACAAGAACCCCCCGTACGGGAATCTCGAACGTTCGCCTTCGCGCGTAATAAAAATACTTGCACACAATTTATCTGAAAGAACAGTCTTCTATAAGTACTTGGAAGTATTAACTAAACGCGTGTTATACATGCATCTACAAAAGGTGTCTCTTCGTTATTCGAGAAAGTCTGCAAACCTGTATCACTCCAGCAGCAGGAGCCTTCTCAACGGCTTAGCAAGGGCGGCTACGGGAACTGCAGTTGATGATGTTCGCCATTCAGTTCCACCATGTTCTACAGAATGATTTTCGCCTTCAGACACAATAGCACAAATTGTATTAGGTATATGCATTGTGCCAGACGCGGTTCTGAAAAGATACGGTTACCCTTTCACATAGAAACCTTATGCAAAATAATCCAGTATGACCAAAAACTCATTTTTCAATAGCTCCCCATTGCTTCCGAGGTAAGCTTGAAGCCGCCCTAAGCGTTGGTTCGTTATTGTATGCCAGCAGTATTAACGCAACACGTATATCCGCAGAACATTAATACTGTCGAAAACCGATATAGAGCATATACAGACAAACACCAAGTACAGGTAATTGTGGCTTCAGCACAGACAAGTCGTCGGATGGATCGGACATTAGTCATCTGCCAATACAATGACACAGGTCACGCTAGCATCTTATTGGAAGCCTTTTTCCAAATGACAATATATCAGGCCTAGTTCCTGCACTAGCCAAATATAATTCTCCGACCCACTGTCGGACCATCTAGTCTTTTGAGTAGTAATTCATCCTGCAAGCACCCATCCACGTTGGTATCCCACCGAAGTACAGTTAGGAGTCGAATCGAAAGAGACGGCGATCATTCCTAAACAACTTATGGCATGCTTTTCATAGTACACTGCACGAGCAGCGGCTGGTAGGCTAGCAGCAACACTCCCTTCCGGATTGGCGTCAGGCTCGCAACACTGGAAAAGATTTTATTATCGGCAATACGCAGCAATTATAGAGATAAACATAAGAAATAACAAGCTGCGCAATGAAAATCGATCTATCTTATATTCGTAGGCCTCGTGAAAGCAAGCGCTACTCAAGGTTCGGCCGGAGGAACAAATCTTATTAAACTGCAAGGCTTGATCGATAAGGTCGAATCCTAAGAAAGAATATGATGGAGTTGCTCGAAAAGCTGCCATGTTGTGCTGACATTTTCGCTGCACTGTATCTTAAACTTCTTGAATTTGCCTTACATGCCCTTACATGAGAGCATTCTGATTTCTGCTTAAGTCTTTGAAAGGATCAGAATATTTTATGTAGAGGGCAACAACTCGAAATTTCCACCGGCGTAATTATTGGTCATGCTAGGAGCATCGTTTTCACAGTCGCTCTGGGATTAAACTCGATCATCTCTATGTTTCGAGTGTGACGTCCGGTATCGGCGTTACGAATTCCGTCAGACGGATGGCTCCCAACCAAAAACAAAATGTACCTATGCCCGGGTTCGTACCTGAACCGCAACGTGTTACTAATATTGATAGACAAGTGTGTTAGCCGCTAAGCCACCACGGGAAGAGAATCACGTAATTGCTCGCCCCATTGTAATCGTCCATCTTCATAATTAGCAAAATGTTGCCAGCGTAGAGCCGACCGTAAAGGAAGCAGTGAACTTAGATGAGGATTAGTGGTAAGAATATCTCTCACTCAGGTCACGTCCAGTTTTGCAGGAAAGAAAGATTGGCGTATGAAAAAATGCTTAACTGAAAGTTAAGTTACAAAGTCTAATAATGGCTTAAAAAGAATTAAAGAGCTCTGACTCTTTAGGGCGAGGTACCAAGTAGCGCGGTGTGATTTCACCCAAATGCACAGGCAAACCGGACAAGCATATCGGCTGACGATAAGAGTTCAAAATTTCCCTCATCTCTCCGAAACTCATATTGAAAGTTTCTAAAGAAACCCACGTCTCTTTCAGATTCTCTGGCTATATATATATATATATATATATATATATAAATTAAAAAATATATATGTGAAATTGATATTTCCGCACGTGGGCTAGTTGGCTGGTGCTGTGGTCCGGTACAAGCAACATTTCACCCTGTAGCAAAGTTCGATGCAAAGCAATTCTGACATTGATTAACCCTAAGAATAAGCTAGCGCTATAACTAAATCTGCACAGATGAGCAATGAAGGACACAGTCTACGTTCAGTAAGATCGTCGTTAGCGCTGGCGGAGTTCTTTAGGCTTATGACAACTGTTGCAAATTGCCTGTGGGTAGGCAAAACCTTTAGAAAACACTCTATCGTTTAAAGTGGCAAGGTTTTACCACTTCTGTGCTTACTTTCCTTAACAAGAACCCCAAGCAAGCAGTGCAGATGTCACCATTTTCTTCTCACAATTTCCCTCGTAAACGCGATATAGAATGAACACTCTGAAATGAGCTTAGCGTGACTGCCGGCCCTTCCAAGAACTGTCTAGGAAATTTCCCGTTTGCTTACTCGTAAAAAGATCCGGTTCCTATTCGCCAAGCCCGAATCAGCCTGCATTTCGTTGGCGCGCAGGTATCATTCCGCCAGGAAGCTAAACGATTTCGAATATTTTCGAAAATCTCAAACGCGGATAAAGCTACAGCTTTCCGAAAGATAGCTTATAGTAGTCGCCAATCTAGGTCACCGTCGACTTAGGTGATCGAAAAAATTAGGCGGTGAAAACATCATAAATTTGATTTGAACACATATTAATTCGTTGTTTCTTTTTAGCACCTAACAAAGAATCCAGCGTGTAATTTGAAATCTAACAACGAATTGATCTACTATGTACGTGTTGCCGATTACTATGATATCTCCACGACATTTTCTTGTTTGCCAACCAATGTATTTATTTTTCTTACAAATTTAATCTTGCAGAACCTATTTAGTTAAGCTTTGAACCTTCTTTTCGCTGTCAAATGTATAGTTACTAATTTTCCAAACGTTATAATACGTCAGAGCGTGGTATGGGGGGTGCATTCTCCAATTCCAAGACGCCATACAAACCAGTTTTAGGCAATCTTCTCAATTCTAATCTCTGCTATACTTTACTGTATTGTTTTCATGTTTCTTTGATTTCGATAAATGACGAAGAGGAGGTATCAAAAATACCTTTCCTAGTTCGGTCTATAAAGCCTGAACCCGACAGAAAATTCTGGTTACTGCTCAACGAAATTACGACAGACTTAGACAGGAGGGAGCACTTTCGAACGCTTGTATAGGAATGAACGCATAGTACAGTGGCAAAGGAGAACGCCAAACAAACCGAACGTCGTTGGTTCAATGGCGTAAATGATACAGCAGCCGTCTGTATGCGTTGCTATCATATTTTACGTGTATTTATAAACCACAAGAATAAGAAGAACAGCCACAGGTCTAAGTAAAAAAATGGCAGAAAGTTTTTTCTGCTTTAGCAAGTAGCGCCCTCCGTTTCTGCCGAACGAAAGACTTCAAAATTGTTCACCCTCAGCCATCTAGGTGAAGCCTCTTTTCCCCAGATGGCATTGAGAGCCTATGCAAGTCCGCATGCTTGGCACTGAGGTCTCCCACGGAAACCAATATTACTGACAAATCAGGATGAGATCGGTGCTCCTAGAAACCCTCCGAAGCGTGCTCAAGTCCACATAAAGTCCGCGTACAAAAACACAGAGTGAATACATGTGCATAGCATCTTTTGTAATAACTGCACGATGAGGACCTGCGCGAGTTTTGTATGGATACCGAAAACCGATCGCGGGAGGATCTTTATGTATTGTTATGCAAGCCCCAAGCGGCCCGTAATCTCTGCTTCGTCGCGCGGTAAAACTGGTCAAGTATATCAAGATCAGACGAATTAGCGCTTCACGTTTCTGCAATGTCGACTATTAAAAGATCATATTAACTAGCCGTTGAAATTCCGGGGTCGGCGTCATGTAGTCTCTAACAGTTTTATTAGAAAAAATATTAAAAATTTACTGTGTCTAGTTGACCGAAATGCGATTTTCCTTTATTTCTTTTTCTTTTTTTGGCCGCTTTTTCCCCGATTAAACTTTCGAGCCTTTGCCAAAATCCGTTACCGCTAGAGTGGTTCGTTTAGCACTTGCTTCGTATGACAAATAGACAGTCGTATTCATGAAGTCCGTACGGTTTTACTGTTATTGGCTGTTCTGAAGATTCTGAAAAACAAACACATGCACATAATTTAATTTTATGGAAACATTCATGACGTTTTGTAACGTTCGATGAAACACCGATCATTTCGAGTAATTGCTATCGATTCGCTTCTGGCATGCGCGCTCCGTCCTATTTTGATCAAAAAGAAGTCCTATGTACTGCACTGTAGTTACTGAACTGCTTGACTGTTCAGTGGCTCAACGGTGCCCATAGCCCTAAAGTAACATCACAAGCGAGGCCGAGTGGCGCATGGTTCGACCTCAACAAAGGCAGGGGGATGAAATAAAATAATCAGTTTTTGTCACTAATTTATATGCCACCTCTAGAAGCGAACTAGTCGTCTTTCCTCGTCCACGGGCCCTCGCATCGGAGGCCCTCTGGCAAGGAGGGCTTCGGTGAGGAGGGCTTCGGCTGTAAAATGTGCCCGAAAAGCAGTATCACTGTTGTTATTGCCATCGTCAGGACCTCTTACAAAAACTTTGAAAGGCAGCGCAACGCATTTCGTCGTAGGTCGTTCTACGTAGACCTAGCTTTGGGCGTACTCTGCTGGCTGCATATCTCTTGCGTGTAAAACCGTAGTGATGGACTTTTTATTGATGTAGATGCGTCTCGATGTAACCGAAGAGAACTTTTACAAATTGGTAACCAATAAATGGAGAACTTAAAACCATAGAAGGCTGTATTTGGAAGTTCGGAGCAAGTGTATAAGAAGACAATATAAATACAGTTAGCTTAATCTAAAGTAGTCGAGTGAATGAAGCTTAATTCTAGCTATTAATAGCTCTAAATTGGCTTCCAGAATGTTTTTTCATTGCTTTTGTAAAAAGGCTTGAATGTTCGAACGTAATTAGACAGTACTGAAATTGAGTTCACACTGGGTTTCTAAGAACTGGAGAACGTTGTTTGCTGAAGCATCTATTAGCTCTTAAATTCGACTCACGAAGGTCACTTACTTCACAGGTATTAAATTGAAACCAATATTGGGCTTCGTTAATGAAGGTATTCCTGTTCACTTGAATCACTGATCAAAAAATGGCTATGATACGTGAATTTTTGCATGCAGCAGAAAATGTATACGCAAAATGACTCTAATAATTATAAGTTAAAGTAAATATTTAAGCTGCAAGACAATACCGGTTGTTCTCATCGCCCAATATATTTTCTGGGACACCTGATCTATTTGAACCGGAGTTAACGGCAACCCTTTTTTGCCCTCTCTTATTGTTTCTTCTTTTTACACTCGTAAGTTAGCAATCTTGACAACTCTGGTCGAAACAGCGAAATAACACAGTAACGATACAATATCCATTCGGAATTATCGTATCGCATAACGTCATTCTCATCGAAAGTACTTACTTTTCATTAGAAGAGAATTTTTTAAAATGAACGCTTTGGCTCAAGCAAGATTTCCAGTTCTGATATTAAACCGTATACCCATCCACGTAAATCGGGCATTTCCTACACTAACCGTTAGTAAGCAATTTAGTCCTTCACTTGTTATACTACGGCTGCATTCAATACCATTTGTATTTTTGTTTAAGAAACACAAGTCGTTTCTGTGTAGTGCAGTGTATACTGCAGGTCATGACTAACAGACCTGACTGAGAGGGGCCGTTAAACATTTACGTTTACTGCAAAATAGGTCGATATTTGAAACAAAGGCGTGTTGTTGAAACAGTATTCGTTACGTCTGGGATCTGTCGCTATGCGCCTATCGTGCGGGGCGATGCGGAATCGTCACTTCAAAAGAAGACAGTAAAAATAAGGCGGATGATCTCAAACCGGGGCAATCAGGGAACGCGAAAAAAGAAAAGACGAATGCGACCAAACGACCATAGTTGGCTCTTTCCGAAGTCCTAGGAGATGCGTTCTTAGAAAGCACGTTGTTTTTGCGGGTAATTTTTGTCTCTTCGACTCATATTAGGCAATCAGTTGGTAGTCTTACTCGAACCATCTGTTAACATTTCTGAAATAGACAACAAAGACGGCTACCAATACACAATTGTCTCGTAAAAAAATTGCTGAAAACTTAATTTCTTGATAAAAAAATAAATACATACAAGCGATTTTTTCCTTGCCTAACCGAGCACTTTTTTTATGCTATGCTTTGTTCTTATCCAAAACCTGTAAAAGATTATATCTACCCAGTCTCATGTCTATATTGTTTTCGCAAACAAACGCTTTTATTGATGTTTTCTCTAGCACATCGAAGCTGATCAACGGCTCTATTTTAGGCTGGAATTAAACTAGCGACAAACGTGCTTGTGAAACACCATATGAGAACAGTCGAGGGCTTTTTCATGGAGCCCGTATGCAAAACAAGCTATGCCATGCAAAACGAATGCCCAACAATATCGGAGATGTAACCAAATTTCAATAACACTAGTACAGGTAATCAAACAACCGCTACTAGAATGTAACGATAATTATCCTCTATAATAGGTTTACTACGCAGCTCTATTGAATTCCTCTGCGTCGTTTCAAACAAATATTTGCGTATATCAATTGTATGCGCATTTTCCCAATAACAGCCCTAGTGGCCATCCCCCAACTACAAACCTTTCCACTCTGCTTGCTGTCTCGTCTATGTTGGCGAACGTACCGAAAGACTGCTGTTGTTCTGTTGTTACAGCGGTACATAGAACGCGAGAAGCGGTCCGGGGCAGACATACACACGTACACTGACAGACAATGATAATCGTCATCATCATCATTAGCATCGAGGGTTGTTGGAGTGAAAGGAGACAGAATTGGATCAGAAGAAGCTGTAGCGATGGGGCTGTGTGTGTATGCGGATTGGGGAGTGGGGTGGGGGTAAGTTGCGCCGCTTCCAAACTTTTCTAGCCCCTTCGAACGTGGCGGCCCTTGAGAACTGAATCGTTTAGTTATATTATCTTTCCCTCTCTAGTTTTCGTTCAGTCACTAATTCTCTTTATCTTTGACGAGCCCCTGCGTTCCCTCAGCATTTGACAGCAGCGCCAGCGTTCAACTACCTCCCACCACCGCCCACCATCACGACTGGCTGCTGTGGCCACTACCATAATACTTCCGCTGCTAACAGCAGCATCACCAGTACAACCTCGAGCCGCAGCGGCGGCACCGCTACCCAACGAAATTTCTTGCCCTTCCCTCTCCTTCGATTTTTCGTATGTCCTGTTATTTGCCTGTTGGTGCTGTGGCGCATGCGCCATGAGCTCCTGCTGGACGACGATCGTCGAGGCGAGCAAGCGGCCCGGCCAACTTGGTCCTCAATAACATTGGACCACCCGCCGACCATGCCAGCCGGCAGCACTGCCTAGCCAGCTAGTCAACGAAGCAGCACTTTCCGACGCTGTGGCTATTTCATTCATTTGGTTGGGCTGAGCGACTGTGCTGTGCGAAAGCTCTGTGTGAGTGCGTTGCGTGCCCCGTCTGGCCGAGCAGTATGACCGCTTCGGCCGCGCGTCAATTCTGTGAGCTGGCGTTTATGTGGGTCTATGTCCAAATATCGATGTGGAGGTGAGGGTCAGTTGGTCTCTCTCTGCCGCTTCTGCTCTTGCCAGCAGACGGCCAGCGGGTGAAAGAACGAGCGTTGGCCGACGAGCGAAGAGGAGGGCAGTAGAGCAGGCAGGCAAGAATTTATACTAGTCGTTCGTCCGCGGCAGCTCGCTAGTCAGCCACCCAGCAACAGCAGCAGCAGCAGCAGCAGCAGCACTGTCCGTAAAACAGGAGCAGGCGAGCAGCTGTAGGAGCCAGCAGCGCTGATAGCCCCGTGCTGTGAGTTGTCTGCTGCATGCTGAGCGAGTGAGCGAGCGAGCCTTTGCTGCAGGTTCTGTTCTGGGAGTTGTGTTTTGTGGGCGAGGGCCACCAGTGGTTGTTGGGTGAGGGGCCGGCTGAGAGACTCAAAGCAAGAGAAACGGAGAGTGAAAGAAATTGTATTGCCATTTTCTGGTCTGAGTTGTGCGCGGCTGCTGCTGCTGCTGCTGCTGCTGCTTCCACCGCTCGATGTACTGCCGCTGCTGTTGCTGCTGCTGTTATGTCGATGGTGACGATGCTGTCGGTGGTGGCGATGGAGAGGGCAACGCAAGTGGTACTCGTAAGCGGCCGCTCATCAGAGTTACTTCGGCCTTCATGGGAGTAGCGTCGTGCCGTCGCATTGTGTCGTACAGTCCTTTTATTATTTCTTCTGATTATTCTGCTATATATCTTTGTGCATTTCGTGTTATTATTGTTGTCGTCGGTGTCGTTCCCCTGCTGCTAGTATTTGTTAATGGTGATCGTGGCCGTGCTGCTGCTGAAGATCGTCATTATTCTGCTCCGTGTAATAATAGCAGGGATATTCCCTGCTTCCTTGCGCCGTCGATCGTCAGCGTTCCACGACTTTGCGGTAGCTACACAAAGCCTCTACTAGGTATATCTGTTTACGCTGGCCACGAGGTATACACTTGGCGCAAACGGCAAGAATAACACTCGTAGATACATGGTGGCATTGCTGCCGCTGCTGCTAGGTCGTTCAAGTGGTAGAGGCGCCCGCAACTATCGTATAGCTGTAGGAGAATCTGTTTTACCTCTGTGACAGTAATCGTCGTCGTCGTCGACTTAGCATCGTTGACTTTTCGAGATTGACTTTTAGCGTAACTGCCGTAGTTACTATTAATCTATGTATAATACTATTCATGCTGCTGGCCACAGCACAACCGCGATAATCAATCGTATCGTATTAATTCACCATGAAGCTGTTGGTTGCTCCGCTGTTCACTGCGATGTGAGGGAATTACCGAAGAGGAGATCGTCATAGACGAGCACGCTTCGCATACGGTCACTGCTCACAATCACCGTCGTCGTCATCAGTATCTCTCCTCAACGCCCTCAACTTTCCGCCACCACCACCCCCTTCCCCCATCCCACCGCCCCTGTGGCTGTTCATGTGAGTGTATCTGTTTCTGTGTGTGTGTGTGTGTTCGCCCTCGAATCTATTCTCCCTCGTATCCGGTGGACGTATACCATAGTGCTCTCACTCAACAGCGGCAGTAGCAGCAATCTGTATTGGGCCGTGCTTATCGTATTGTACTGTTCCATCGTACTTCATTCAATCATCGACAATAGAACCAGTGCTGCTGCTGCTGCTGCTGCTGCTGCTGCTGCTGGTCGTAGTGTTATAAGTAGTAGTGGACGGCGGCGGCGGCGGCGTCAAGTTAGAGTGTCGTTTTGTGACGGAAAGTCGAGTGTAGTTCCACAGCGCTCGAATGCAGCGGCCGGAGAAAGAACAGCGCGCACCACCGCCACACCAACATGGCCGCCGTGGGCCATCATAGGACTCAGGCGCTGGAGCGACGCCCTGCAGCCGCCCACCAGCACCATAATAATAATCAACAGCAACAACAACCACATCAACCACAACCACAACAACAACATAATTTTCATCACCACCATCACCTCCACATGGCTGCTGCTGCTGCTGCTGCTCACGGAGGCGGCGGCGGCGGCGGCGGAGGAGGAGGAGGAGGAGGAGGAGGAGGAGGAGGAGAGGGCGGGGGAGCAGCAATCGGTGGCAACAATGTCATCGGTGGAGCTCTCGGCGGGGGCGCTCCGCCGCCAGCGATACTGGCAGGGGGCGCCGCTGTGGCGTTGCCCCAACACGGAGCAGGGGGCGTCGGTGGCGGTAGTGGAGGCGGAAACCGTCACCATCATGGGGGCACCTCGGCGCTAGCCGGCCTGTGCAGGGGCGGTGACGCTGGCCACAGTGGCCACCACAAGTGCAGCGCCATCTCGATGGGGGCGGCTACAAATTCGCTCAGCGGCTCAACGTTTCTCCTCGGCAGCTGTGCTTTCAGTGGTGTTATTGTGTCGAAAGTTGAATCGCTATTGGATTTGAGTGCGAAAGTTGTGGCAGCGCACATTCCGTTCCAGCGGATCGAGGAACGTTACAACCGGATACCAGAGCCTGTGCAGCGTCGCATTATATTCTGGTCGTTTCCGCGCAACGAGCGCGATATTTGCATGTACTCGTCGCTGGTATCAGCTGACACCGCCGACTACCAGAAACTGCCTTTCTATCGTGGATTAAAGTTGTACGAAAGTGGATGCGTCGAAAGCGTTCTACAAGTCGGTAAGTATGGTAGAAGTACAAAGAAAAACATCTAATTAAGGATTAAATTAATAGTCGGTATAGTGAAACGGAGGAATTAGGTACGAGACAGGGTCTGCTTGACCTCGTGTTTCGGTCCAGCAATTGTCAATTTTAAATGAACGAACATTACTGGACACCTACTATTTCTGTGTTAGGATATCATCGTAAGAAAGTTCCTTTACAGGTTTACCTACTTCACAATTTTCCATGAGTCTATACGTCACCTCCTCAGCTATGCGTGGAAGTAGATCGGTCAGAAGCAGTTGAATACTCTGAAGGAAGCTACCAGATTTCTTTTTAATCTCGTCATATTCGTATTCAGCTCGGAAGTTGAAAAACCGCAGTCCTGTTAGTGTTGTTTGTCTAGCATCTGTGAATCACAGGTGCGTTTCACGCTCTATGATATGTCGTCGAATGGGATAAACTAGTGAGAGGCTGGGCAGCATTAGCATATTTCGGTAGGTATTTCTGCGCATGCAAAAACTAAACGCTGACCATATAAATAGTACTAGCATAGATCTCTGCAACTAAGTGCACATTCGCATCGTTGTAAGTTGCAACTTGCTACTTCTCTGCGGATTATTGCCTCCTCGGTACGTGTGACTCTGTGTATACACATGAATGAATACGAAAGTTCTTCTTGCGTTTTCTCTGCACAGTTTCCCCAACGTCAATAATCATCATTATGATTATATCTGCGGGAATGGTAATGATTCAATACTACGCCAGGCTTATGACTCAACCAGTTACCGGTAGTTAATACAGAAGAGTGTCGAAAGCGTTTATATTATAGTTTATGAATCTGTGGCTGTATACATCCGATGAATAAGAGGCTACGGCAGCTATATGACGCGGACAACTGTAATCGAAAGCAGTTGCATGACTCAAGTTCGAATCGTGCTCGAGAACTTATGGGAGTCACGGCGGCTCGGTGCGCCACGACGGTTTACTCTTCTCGTCGACCATGTTTGATGTTTTCATCCAATTCATTGCAACGGGAATGTTCTTCCGATTAGTTTCGTATCGTTCGAATAATATCGACGCATCGATCTGACCGGCTTTCCGGTTCATGTTAGCAGCGACAACGGCAAGTGGAGACTAATGCTTTTGAATATGAGCTATACGAGGACAGCGTCAAGTGGATAACCATCACTGTGCCTGATACAGGCAGAAAAAAAGCTACAGCAGGACACTTCTACTGTGCAGAATAACAAAACCTGGCTGGAACAAACGGCAGCCATTGAAATCGGGTTTACGGCTTCGATTTGGTCTTTTCTAGCGAACCTATTATAAAATCTATCGGCGGAAAGGATGACTAGTGTTCGTTCGTTTGGAAACGCGCACTGTGCTGTCGCTGCTGTCGCTGCTGTTATGGCTGACGCTAATGATAGCCGTCATAGGCCAATGTGTGAGGCGTAAGCCGTGATGGCTGACTCTTGTCAGGGGTTTTCAGAGGGCTCGAGTTATCTAAGGAGAGCCACTCGTCTCGTTTGGTGGCTGTCTGTCTATTTGTTTGTATGTATGCGTATGCGCAGATAAGTTGATGAATACGTGCATATTTCCTATCATATCCGTGTATACGTGTGTGTGACGGGGCGGACGTGCGTGCCGCCATCGTTGTGCCGGCGGTTCCTGTACATGGGAGAGGCAAAGTAATACTGTGGCAATGCTAACATCCGTACTAGTAACGGCGGTGGGCGGAAGGAACGTATTGATCATAACGAGCGAGCGAACGTTTTTACCCATCAACAATCGGAACAACGCCGCCGCCGTTGTCAGCAGTAGTTGGTTCTGGAGAGACAAAGACAACAGGAGCTGCAGCGGCTACACCAGCAGCAACGATAACAACAACACCACCATTAGCTTTAGTACTTCGCCCGCTGTTGCTGCCCCTGTTCGAGCAGTCTCTGCAAACGAGACCGCCGAGGCGAGGATGCCGGCAGCAGTTGTAGCGCGGGAGGGTACAGCCAGCAAGTTGTGATTAAGCCATTTCTTGTTGACTGTGTGCCGACTACTACCGACGCCGACGCTACTAGCTCCTTTGCTAGTCGAGAGGCAAGAGCCACTGTTGCACCGTGATGGTACGCTTTTGGACCGATGGACGATCGTCCATCCCGCTAGAGCATTCTCCATCTATCGGCCAGTAGCACTAGTAGTTAGCTTTGAAACAGTGAAGATGTTGTAGCGAGCCGCCGAAAGCAGAGGAGAAGCGTCTTAGTCGAGAATTACAGGCGTCACAGCAGCAGCAAAAATGAAGCCAACCAACTCTGTGCCAGCGAAAATGATACTAATACATGTTCCTAAAAGCCTAACGTTACTTAATTGGCGGTCGTAGTATCTCCGCGGCGAGCGTTTGTCAAAAGCAAGCCGAGAGACGGCTGATGGGTGCCCGTCTGCCTGACAAACAGATGAAAAACGCGACTTGTTTATTATGTTATACGTGTGACACAATAAACTAGCATGGGCGATGGTACAGCAGCAGCAGTTGTATCGCTAAAAGCGAAGGTGTGTCGAGGAGACAAGGACAGGCAGCGTCGACGGGCCGGCCAACAGAATCTCGCTGGATGGCTCATGGCTGTCCAAACGCTTTAAGAATCATGGCGATAGACGGATACGTGATCTAGCGATATTTCCCTTTTTTCCCACTAATTTTCGTTGGTGTTTGTATTATAGAAGATACCTAATAGCAGTAAGCGCCCTGGTTATTTTATGGCGATAGTGATACACGTTCAAAAAGATATGCAGAGGCTTATCAGAACTAGCGGCCCGAAATGAATCTGCCACATCCTTTCCTGCAAATCGATTCGCTTCATAGTGACCTTCATGTATGCGTGTGGATATACATAGTCGCGCATGCTTGAGTATGGGCTGGTTCATGCTAACGCACCGAGGAAACGAGGCTGAAAGTAGAATAGGGGGCAGAAGCCTGGGTTTTCTCGGAGCCTTCCAGAATGAATGTATGTTCACATGGAAATGTAACAGAATAAGAAGAAATGCGTTCTACACGAAAGATGCTCATGTAGAGACACGCACCTTTTACTTCTACAATATGCATTATAAAACATACAATATGCCTTTTTCTTCACTGGAACAAAGGAAGATAAATGTAACAATCTATTATAATGGCGATAACTGTGCTTAACCAATACATTGAATTGGGTCATGCAAAGCTTTTTGGCCTGGCCACTAAGAGAATACGTACGCTTGTCTCGATGGCTAGTAGCTGTTGTAATGGTGCAACAGAGAGATTAAACATTAGTAGAAATAAGAATTGGACCTCCAATGGATGGGGGATGAGGGAGAAGCATTCAGGCAACGCGTTGTTTGTGTTTTATACTTAGTAGTAATGTTCAATTGAGGCATGAACATTTGTGTACTGTCTGACTAACAGGTCCCGTAAGTGAGAAATAATAACTGTTATTCTAACTAAGACAAGGCAATGTTTTTTTTTTTTTGTTTATAAAGGGAATGTGTCACGCTTATGTGTCGATTGTCAGGTTGAATTTTTAGTCCATTTACATTTGCTGATGAGCTTGCTGGGTCAAATGTCCTAAAATTTGTGCTTAAATTAGCGGGTTTGCAAGAGAGATGAGCGGCTGCTTGAAAACGGCTAAACCTATTGGTCGTTCAGAGTGTCGGTTGTATTTTACCTTTGACTGAATGGCTTTCCATTGGTCCCGAATGCAGTACCTCAAAAAAGGTCCGTTATGGGCAGGTCGTATCCCATGGGAAAAGGCACCGCGAAGACGATTTTTTAAAGCGGTTCTTACTTCCTTTCGATGAAGGAATGAGGGCAACATCATTTTTCTTCAAGATTAATCCTCTGCAAAGAAGCTTCTACAGGCAACTTTTCAGGGGCTAGCTCGGTTGGCTAGAGAGAAAAGGGATCGACCGAAATATGGATTGATTTCCTAAAAGTTTCCGTGCACGCATCGACGAGTGTAACACCAATCCGAGGCCTTTAAAAATATCCCTTTGAGAAACCCATAGCGTTTTGCGCACAGATCATGATAGGGATAGACTCGTATTTGGCTGGCTATACATGATCAATTACACATACAAGTAGACAGGCTGATAGGCTTATAATTTGTGAACAATTAAGGGCTCGGGAAGCGTTTAGCCAATCATGATATTTTAAGAACATTTCAAGGCCAATTTAGGATGGACTTACTCCACGTTTTCTAAGTATTGCTTACGTATTGCACGAGCCTATGAGCTTAATGTTCCGCCATTGTTATGAAGTTGGCACAAGCTCGGTCTGCAGCAGTATTGAGAATTCTAACTCTAAACTCTTATTTGTATATTATACAAGAATGATTTTTTACGAATTCGTGTAAATGTCTATTGCTGCAGTTGCGAAATTTGAGGTCATGAGTATTACAAGTAAGTAAAGAGTAGTTCGCTTTTTCTTCAACGAAATATCTTTTATATGCGCAAGATGAGTTTCTTCTTTCTTCTATTTAACTTTTACTGAGGGGTTCGTGAATAGGGATGGGGCTGCAGCAGTGGTGGTATTTCTTATTCCGGCTTCTTTGACTAACCCCCATTACGGGTCGTTGCTGAAATGGCTGGCACTATGGCAGAGAGAAATGTTGATTGAGCTATGCACCAGAAGCAGGACAGAAGGAGTAGTGCCACGCTAATGAACGTACTCTCAGATCGAGTTTGCGATTCGCCTGAAGTCCTCAGAGAAGCATCAGCTTACCGACCATATCGAGACTGAATACGGCCGAGCTCTGGTGACTTCGTCCCCCTGTTTTTGTTTCTTTTTCTAAGTTTCGTTGTTTGCCTTAAGCATTAAGGCAAGCCATGCAATTAACTAAGCAGCCAACCGCCAAACCAATGAAATACTTTTCAACTGCCTGCCCCTTCGAAAGCAACATGTCTGTTGAGGCGACTCCACCGAGACACCACCATCCCCAGCGTATGTCAGTAGGATCCAGCTTGCGTTGCGGTCCAACCTGTATATTATAGTAACA